CACAGGCTTCATCTCTGGACTTTATTCACTAATGATCTCAAAACTTACATCCCTTCCTCCATCATATACTAACCACTGGGAAACTGACCATAGTTTCCCTACAGACACAGCAGACTGGAATGATTTAATCCATTAAACCTTCCTCACAAAATAAGGCAGCCTTGGAAACCAGTTATAAAGTTCTATCTTAATGGCCCCTACAAGGATCACTAAATATATCCCCAACTACCCACCTGCATGGTTTCGAGGCTGCAGAGGCCTAGGCATCCACCTACATATATGTATGGTGGACCTGTTCTGCAGTAATTATGTTTCGGTTAGACATTTATGTCATGCTATCCCAACTTTTTAGTATTTCCATTCCTCCTGACCCCATGACTGCCCTTCTCAAACATCTCCCAGAGATCACACTGGCCAAATTAAAATTTTTACAGCATGTCACAAACACCTCCAAACCATTTCTAAGGCCTGGAAAATACCTAAACTTTGCCTCAAAGAAACTAGATGGTTACCCAAGCCATGATGCATTCATTCAAATTCAAGGCTATGCTACAGGAAAAAATCTCCAAATGTATGTAGATTTGGACAAATAATATCTAGAGTCCTGACCTGTCCCATTTATGGCAATTATCACCACTTTCAACATACAAGATGACCTACATTGCTGACCCCAGGAACCCTCATGTTCCTAAACTTTTCCTTACCCCTTCTTAATCTGCTGAGCTATTGTTATGGGGGTGTTATTCGTAGATTGATCACCTTGTGCACACTATATACCTGGACATCCTTGTTTTGTACAAACCATTACACTAACCATTGTTGTGGTTTTTGTTACTTGATCAAGCTTGTAACTAACCAAAAAAACCTTTCAATAAACATATGGAACAAGACAGTAAAATGTATGGCACATCAAACAATATTTTCAATCTTCCAAATGCAATTTTCTCCCACACGGTAAATTAATTGACAATACTATCTTATAAAAAAAATACATTCTGTGTATGGCCAGTGAGCTCCAGACAAACCAGCTAAATTCCACACAGAACCACAAGACATGCCCATTCTCTCAGCGCCCATCTGTTCTGCGCACTACTCAGGGAGTAACCACATTTTTTTTAAGAAGAAAAAAAAAAAAAACCACAACAGAACTCAAAAGGGAGATTGCAGGTTGTATTTGATCTCCAGGTTTCCTATATGAAAATGTCATTTTGAGGAGAACTGTCCTATATCACAAAAATATGTAAACTGTTATTTTCTATTCAAATATGAAATCACAATGCCACAATGTTGTTTTTTTTTTTCCCTTGATATTGCTAAAAGTACAGAAGTCGGACAACTGTGGCGTAACCGCGCTTGTTCCAGCAGCCACGTTGTCAATGTGCAGCACACCGCTATGAAATACAAGGAGTGAGGTAAAGATGAGGAGGAAATGAAGAACTCCGTTTTGTCAGGCATAAATATAATGTAAATAATGATCAATATTCAGAAATTGTTTTATCCGCATTACACAGGGCTCCTGAAACTGCAAATATATGTTTCCACGTGGACAAAGACGCCTACAGGACCATCAGGCAAGGGGAAAATTCAGCATTTTTTTTTTTTTTTTTTTAACAAAATTTGGCCATAAGAAAAAGTTTCCAAAACAGAATGAGAGCTGATGCTGCTCAAAGCAACTCAAAAGGTCCCATCTTTCATTTTCCAGTGTGTTAGAAAAACAAGGACTGGAATCTGATTGACTGCACTTCTTTCTCCAGGCAAACTGAATATGCAAATGGGTGTTCTCCAAGACTTGTTCACAGGTCCCTATCACACTGTGCAGCCAGGACACTGCTATCCACTACCACGATAGTTTGCTGCATCATGTAAGCTACCTAAAACATCTCTCTCTCCAGCTCCCAGTGCCTGAAAGCAGGTTAGGCTGGCCATAGACTGATGGAATTTAGTCCAATTCCTACTGAACTAGCTGAAACTTGAGCTGTGGGTGGCCCTGAAATCACCACCTTGCTAGGCAAAATTGGATTATAAAATTGAATGAGACTGGTGGAAAATGATTAGCCAAACCAAGACTTCATGCAGATGTGGTTACGGTTCTGCAGCATCGTTGTATGTAAAGCTAATCTCCATCTTTTAGTGAAGTTTAAATAGTTTGTTTGGACCAAGCTGGTCCAAACAAACTTACCTTCACTAATAGAGGTGCCTGCTGTAGGACCTGTATGTAGCCTCAGCTACATACAGAATACAGCCCTGTGTACCTGCATCAGGATGGGATGTTTCGGTCCCGTACCTAGAACAAAATGAAGTTAGGCTGAGTATTGCTCAGCCATTCACAGGGAGCTTTGTATTCATTGATAGAATACAAAGCTCCCTGTGAGTGGCTGAGGGGGGAGATGGTGACATCTTCGGATCACTTCAGCCAATCAGAGGAACCTTTGTATTAATTCAAAGAATACAAAGCCCCCTGTGAATGGCCGAGAAACACTAAGCCCTATTCAATTTTGTGCTGGGAGTGGGAACTTGTTGTCGGAACACAAAGCAGTATACTGTATGTAGCGGAGGAGGCTACAAACAGTTCAATCAGTGCCCACAGTGGGCACTATCTAGTAGCGAATTAAAAGTTCATTTGAATTAGTTTGGTCCAAACAAACTATATAGACGTCACTAATAGATGGAGATCAGGTTAAGCAGCTGCAGGTTCTGCAGCTGTCCGAATAAATTAGCCAACAGTGGAGATTCCTCCATCCACGCAGAACCATGGGCTGAACGAGAGAAAATCAAGCAATCTGTGGCCGTCTTCTGACTGGGAGTACTGTGCATTTCAATAGAGCCTGATTGTTTCACAGCACACAACCACGCAGTCATATTTTTGCAATTCAGGAGGAAATGGCGAGGCAATAACATTAGGATAGATTTCAGGATGTAAAATAAAATACTTTGTAAGGGTAATTGCATTTTTAAAACACATTAATATTATTAATATACCCAGGAATGTCAAGGAACATTGCAGATACAATTTACATCTTTGCCTTTCTGTTCTTTAAGAATTTCAGGTATGAATATTTGATACATAGTTACATTGGTCCAGCTTGGATGAATGTAACTATGCATACACCAAATCTGGCCGATGCCCCTTGGAAGCTGGATATCATTGAAGTAGATGCCTCTACTCTACTGATTTCTGCATCCTGTGCTGAGCGGCTGGCCTGATTTATTGTGAACATAGGTGGTCGGCCACTTGGCACAGGTGTCATTCAGAGAATGCTTTGCATTCATTCAGAATATACAAACCATTCTCCGATTGGACCAGGTGGAGAGGCGGGGTAGTGACATCACGCTCACTAATTTGTCCATTCAGAGATTCAGTGATTTCCAGGGGTATCGGTCATGAACAGTATATAACGTAATTACATTGGTCCAAGCTGGACTAATGTAACTATGCCATATCAACCTGCCTTAATGCAGTAGAAAATTACAGAGCCGTACCAGTGTAAAAACGGTCTGGTTTGCACTTAGCTTGTCTGCACCATAACTGCAGAAAAGGAGTGAGAACAAGGCAGGCATTTATGCCACAAATAATAGTTTCTCTGCTGCAGTGCATTCATGCCATCACTGGAGACCACAGATTGCTAGAAACAGTAATGCAATGTCTACACAAACCTGAGCCTACAGTGAAAAAAAAGGCAGAAGAGATTATAACTGCAAACGTTTCTTGTGCATAGATAATGGGAGTAAAAACTATTTTAATATTTCTTGGAGTTCTGCTTTTACCACGAGGCCTACTGTGTTGTAAAAAAAAAAAAGAAGATATATATATTGGTGCTCCAGTCAATTTCAAACCAAAGTTAAATAAAAGCGATAAATGCACTGGCAACTAAAAAAAGGCTGACAATAACATAAATGACTATTACGAAGTGTTTATCTGGCTAATATTTGTTTCAAAGTGACGTTAGAGTAAAAGAAAAAAAATATAAGTCTATCCGGAATGCCAGAACACTGGTGTTTTCATGCACTTATAAGAACCATGCAGTGTTGGCAGCACTTTTGTTATGGCACTGGATTCTAAGGAACCCATTACATGAATTCTCAGCTACAACATAGCTGCCGAGAGTGCATATGAAAGGTTTCCAGAGTAAATGAACACTAAAATCTGCTTGGGACTTTACAGGACGACCTCCATTTCCCATATTAAATAAAAAGAAAGCCAGTTCCCCATTTTTTCAGGACAATTCAACCATTCACAGTGGTTTTAAGATGTGATGCAAAAGATTACAGCAGCAACGGGTGCTATGGGTGATATATCTCTATGGCACTTACGGAGGGGGGTCTCTCTGCATAATGACCTGAAGGGGACCCAAGCTGACAGGTGATTTCAAATTAAACTGGAAACCCCCATTAGCAGTCGGATGATAGAACACTGACAAAGCGGCACATGAAAAGGAAAGAAGAGTTGTGTTGCAGTATCAATGTAAAAAAAAAAAAGACAAAAAAAAAAAAAAATTTTTTGAACAGATCCTCTGTCAGAGGGGAACTGGGATAAAACAAAAATGTTTTCAAATTAATCCTCATCTTCTTTTTATATATAAGATGCATTACCAAGTCATAAAAAAAAAATGATACAGATCATAAAAACAAAAGAAAAACAAAAAAAAAAAAAAAAAAAAAAACACAGCTTGTATATCTCCATGAGCATAGCATAAAACATTTTCCAGCAGTGATCTGCTTACAGTTTAAAAGAAAAACAGAAAAAAAAACAAAAATAAACAATTTTTTTGAAATATTACCGCTGAAAGCCATCTTCCAGCAGTTATATAAATTTCCCATGTGTCCTTTTGGTCTTGAAGACCTAAAATATATTTATATATATATATTTATATTTTTCCTGTAAAAAGTTTGCACAGAGTTCAAGGCTAGACCTGAGAGAACAGAAGGGACGGAGCAGGGTTCTTGGGACGGTTAATGGTAAAACTGAGGGCCAACTTGGGGACCGGTTATAAAATATTCCGTCAAGAAGATGCGTTGGCTGTTGCCGTCCTGCTTTGGAAGTGGTGGTTTGTGGTGTTGGCGGTGGAGAGGGAGGAGTCGTTTGCCGTGATCCCATAATCTGCCGGCTGAAGACAAAACAAAGGTCATTTGTTACATTCACAAAAGTGCATCCAATATTTACCTATTGCCCAAACCCTATCAGTAACCAACTTCTGAAATCTTCTTGTACCCACAATCCAACGTGAGTTCCAGAACCTGTGCCTGGAACCTAAGCACCCAAGCCCATGCCTGATGAGATATATACAATGATTGATGTGGAGCATGTATTGAACATTACTTTGCCAAGATGACATGACAGGCTATATGGTTTGGTACTACTTCGTGCCGGGCCCCCTGAACACCAGCTTCCCTGTGGAGCCCCCAATATATAACCCAATTTTTTGTAAAATATAAAATACGTTCCGCTGAGTAAATAGATACCAAACATGTCATGCTTTAAAATTGCACACGCCCGTGCAATGCCAAACTACGTAAATGTTACTAAACGTGATGCTAGAATTACTGCCCATGAACTGATGTTTGTTTGTGGTGATACCTTACATGTGTGGGTCGATCGCTGTTTGTGTGTATATGGGGCCCACGTGTGTTTGCCTTTGTGCACAAGCACAGTGGGGGGACAGGAGCACTTTAATTTTTTTTTCTCAATTATTAATTTGTTTTTTTTATTTTTACACTGTGGCTTTACTTATTTGATCACTTTTATTGCTGTCACAAGGAATGCAAACATTCTTGTGACAGCAATAGGCATGTGACAGGTATGCTGCTTTATGGAGGGATCTGGGGTCAATAAGACCCCAAATCCCTCCTCTCTACTTAAAAGCATTCAAAAACACAAAGATCAGCGTTTTTGAATTCTTAAAATTTTTTAAAAGATAGTGTTGTTTAGTTCCGAGTAAACCGGAAGTGATGTCAGGTCATCGCTTCCAGGTTACTATAGCAGATAGCCAATCTTGGCTTTGTTCGGCTGTCCGGCCAATCGGCGGATATGCCGGCTGGTTGCTCTGGTCTTCCAGTGGGATGGGACAGCCTTGGAAGGAGGAGGGGGAATGTTACCTACCGCTGCTGGTAAAAGCAAGTGCCAGCTCTAAAAACCGGTACCGGGATGACACCTGCAGCTGCTTGAAGTCCAGCAACATACGGGTATATATAAAATGGTGCGTATTAACATTATGCTGTCTTCTATCCAGCCAATAGGTGAAGCTAGAGTACCCTTTTAGCATGATTAGCATGAATCTATTATTGGACAGCCGTCTACGTTCCCTTGCACATGGGTGTCATAATTTACTGATGTTTACTCAGGAACTTGTGATGCCCATGTGCAAGGGGCCAAAAACTATGTGTAAAGACCTGAATAATGTTGAGTATAGGCGAGTAAAAGGCGTATGTAAGCGTAAAGATGAGTACATTTCTTCTTGATTGCCAGTATTGTAATGCACTCATTTATACGCATGTAAAACAAGTAAACACGCTAGTAAACTACTGCGCTCAAAAGAAAAATGTTAAATTTTTGTTTTAATGCTTGCATGCAGCGCCGTATTACTGATCTGTACTCGGCTGTATGGAATGTACCATACACAACAATGCATCTCATTCCTCATCAGTAAAAAAAACTCAACATTTTTCCTCCCATGCGCAAAAGATAAAAGGAACTGCTATGTCATGTATTAAATGTTCATTTAAAATTGTTAAAAACAGATATAAAACTAAAGTTTGAATATTTTAAACTAAAAAAATTGAACATTAAGGTTTATCTTAAAAAAAATAAAAAAGAAGGCGCAATCAAACACGAAACGGGCACCCACAACTGTTGTTGCTGCCGGACTATGCATGCTGGAAAATGCCCAGATAGGACATGGTGTCATATGTGAAATCTGTATATGACATCTGTGTCTACCTTCTACACAGGGAGGACAAATAAGAGACCAAGGCCTCCACATTCACTTACATGTCTTCTGAAGATCCTTTGGAGCAAGCTACGTTTTGGCGGTTCGGGAAGTTGCCTCCAATCCAGATCTGGAGAGCGGGTCCCATTTGGTCCGAAGATGTTGAGGTCCTTGAAACATTCCGTCTCAATCATCTACAAATGTAAACCCAAACATATTGTTCACACAGAGAACTACACATGCAGCAGTACAATACAGTATGTAACTATTATGGAATAGCAATTTGCAAATTGTTGGCTTCAATCAATATGGTAATTCCCCATTCACTTGCTAAAGGAAATCAGAGGGGAATCTACCTCTATGGAGCAGAATCCACTCTCCGCTGGATACTACAGTATTGACACTGTGCTGTTCACTTTAGGTTTTCTTCATAAAATGCAGGTCATGGTGTGGAGTATCCAGAGCCCTAATAAGTCACTGCAGACAGCATGTTGTGATTGGAAGACAGGACAGTCACATGACTATGTACATGATTGTGCATGTGCCATTATCCATGTCACTGTCAGTAGTGTTTCTAATTATCTCGTACCTGCGTTGTAACTGCTTTTTTACTCATCTGGTATTGCTTTCACTAATGATATAAGCAGTTTGAAGCTCATGACGTTGATCGGCAAGTAATTAGGACCCTTTCACACGGGGCAGACTCTGCTCTGATCAACGGACAGATTACTGCTGATCAGTCAGAGTGGGTGGATGACAGGTCTGTATTCTGCACAGTGGACACAGAGCCCGTTCTGCTATATGGGCAGTTGGGTGTAAACTGACTCTTTTTTCCCCATTTACACTCAACTGCCCTCCAAACTGATCCACCTAGATCACGGGTGTCAAACTGGTGGCACTCCAGCTGTCGCCAAATTACAAGTCCCATGAGGCATTGTAAGATTGACAGTTACAAGCATGACTCCCAAAGGCAGAAGCATGATGGGACTTGTAGTTTTGCAACAGCTGGAGGGCCACCAGTTTGACACCCTTGATCCTAGATGGATCCCCTTCAGTTTCTTTCTTAGCGGACAAGATTGGAGGTAGGTGTAAACAAACTTGGTGTCTGTTTACACTGACTGGTCCATAGGGATAAATGGATCATCTGATCAGGACTGCCTGTATGAAAGGGTTCTTAAACAGTTGTGTTCAAAATAATAGCAGTCCAATATCCCCAACTAGATCAATCACTGTTTTTGGTATAAATTCTATTTCTTCATGGCAAATAATTTACTAGTAGGTGTAGTAGAGTAATAGAAAACCAACACACCCAAAAGTCATGACATGCATGCCACTGATAGTGTGTAATGAAATCATTCATTGAAAGGGGTGCATTCAAAATAATAGCAAAATAATAATAATGTGGAGTTCAATTAGTGAGATTTTTCAGTCTGTGAAAAAAAAGGTGTCAAACAGGTGGCTTTTATTTAAAGACAAAACGCAGCAAATGTTGTACATGCTGTGCATAGTGCATTTCTCTCTGAAATTCGGAGGAAAATGGGTCATTCCAGACATCGTTCAGAAGAACAGAGTACTTTGATGAAAACGTTGATTGGAGGGAGGAAAACATATAAAGAAGTGCAGAAAATGATAGGCTGCTCAGCTAAAATGAACTAGAATGCTTTAAAATGTCAACCAAAACCAAAAAGACAAAAAAGAAAAAAAAAACAAAACAGAAAACTACCATTTGAATGGATCAAAGAACAGCCATAATGGCAAAGACTCAGCCAATGATCAGCTCCAGGGTGATCAAAGAAGGTCCAAAGTTCCCTGTGAGTACTGTAACAATTAGAAGACGCCTATGTGAAGCCAAGCTATCTGCAAGAAGCCCCCGCAAAGTCCCACTGTTGAAAAAAATGACACGTGCTGAAGAGGTTACAATTTGCCAAACAACACAGTGACTTGCCTAAAGAAAAATGGCGCAAAATTTTGTTGACCCATGAAAGCAAGATCCTTTTTTTTTTTGTGGGTCTAGTGGCCGGAGACAGTTTGTCAGACGACCCCCAAACACTGAATTCAAGCCACAGTACACTGTGAAGACAGTGAAGCATGGTGGCGCAGGCATCGAGATAAGAGATGTTCCTCATAGTATGATATTGGACCTATTTATCACATACCAGGGATCATGGATCGGTTTTAATACATCAAAATACTTGAAGAGGTCATGTTGCCTTATGCTGCCGAAGAGAAAATGCCCTCAAAATGGGTGTTTCAACAAGACAACGACCCCCAACACACCAGTAAGTGAGCGGCATCTTGGTTCCAGACCAACAAGATTGACATTATGGAGTGGCCAGCCTAATCCCTGGATCTTAATCCAATAGAAAACTTGTGGGGTGACATCAAAAATGCTGTTTCTGGAAGTAAAACCAAGAAATGCAGAGGAATTGTGGAACGTAATGCAAACGTCCCGGGCTGGAATACCTGATCACAGGTGCCAGAAGTTGGTTGACTCCATGCAACACAGATGTACAGCAGTTCTCAGAAACAGTGCTTATACAACTAAATATTAGTTCAGTGACTCACAGGAAAGCTGAATCTTCAAGAATTTTTCAGTTTATACAGTAAATGTTTGCGTTTGTCAAGAAAAAATGCAGACACTGCTATTCTTTTGAACAGTCTAATATTCCCTTTTCTTCACCAAACGTGAAACATTTTTTTCATGTTTTAATTGGAATAGAATGTGTAGTAGTGTTCCCAATGCATTTGTGTGTATGCAAATAAAAGCTGTTATAAGGATTTTGAGCTTTAGTCACTTTTTTAAACACATTGCTATCATTTTGAACACAACTGTAAATACAAAAGTAACAAGTTTACTTTGTATCTCTCTATCTCAAATCTGAACCGTGTTAATAAAGACTGTCAGGTGGTTACTTTTTTGATAGCAGATGCTGTATTTTCACAGCAACTCCTGGCTGTCATTTTGGTAGCTGGGAATTGCCAGCAAATGCAAGGGGACAGAGATGCCTCAGCAGGGCAGAAGGACAAGGTCTACATCCTGTGTACGTCTATAAAGCTTTTTTGGGCATGTGTCGTATGCCCAAGGTCCAAAATGGGTTATCGCATATAAAGAGTTAATGTGGGTATCTGCAGAGTTCTATTTTCTTATCCGGATCCACATGGGAAAACCTATTCAGCATGACGTTGTTTGCACTGCCAAGCAACAATAGAGCCCAAAGATTCTTACACTATTTTTGGAACTTCCAAGTTCTGCGACTGGTCAGTTGCTAGGAGACATCACTTATTTCACGATTCCTTCTGGTAATATATTCATAATGAGACGGAAGCCAGAGAGGAACTGGAGACAACCCCCACGCGTGGATAAAAAAAAATCTGCGTTCCCAGGATTATTCTACAAGCTTTGGACCTTATAACTTTAGGTCTTCAACTTACTTTGAAATACAAGGAGTATAGAACTGTATGGAGACAGCGGCTTGCAGGGGACTGTGGACATTTCGGATTCAGCATGATATATGGTATATTTTATATGTTAAACTTTACCGACTCCTTAACCGCTTTCCTGCCGCCCTATAGCAAAAATACTGCTACAGGGCGGAACGGATGCGCAAAATCTATTATATATACTACTACAAGGAGGCACAAATGCGCAAAATCAAAAATATATACTACTACAGGGTGGTACAGGTGCGCATAATCACGTATATACTGCTACAGGGCGGCACGGGTGTGCAAAATCAAATATATACTACTACAAGGAGGCACGGATGCGCAAAATCAAATATATACTACTACAGGGCGCTACAGGTGCGCAAAATCACGTATATACAGCTACAGGGCGGCACGGGTATGCAAAATCAAATACATACTACTACAGGGCGGCACGGGTGCTCAAAATCACGTATATGCTGCTACAGGGCGGCACGGGTGCACAAAATCATGTATATATAAACACAAGTGATTTGCATTTGAAGGTAGGGGGCACCATTCACGGCCTCGGCTGTCAATCACCAGGTCCCGGCCAGTGATTACTCGCCAGCACTCGGTGATCGCAGAGTATTACCGACAGAGGAGAGAACTGTATGTAAACAATACAGTTCTCTCCCGTCAGCTCCTGCACACTGCTTTGTATGGCTCTGCATAGCAGAGCCATACATACAAGGCAGTGTGCTTACAGTGGAAAGCACAGACACAGCCTCATAGTAAATCACACAGCACACAGTTAACTCTTAGATCGCACCAGATGTTAACCCCTTCCTGCCCAGTATTAGTACAGTGTCAGTGCTTTTTATTAGAACTGATCACTGTATTGGCGTCACTGGGGATGTCAGTGACACCAAGTCAGTTCTCCCCAGTGTCAGAATGCCCACCGCAGTCCCGCTATAAGTCGCTGATCGCTGCCATTACTAGTAAAATAAAAAATTCCAAATTTTTTTTTTTTTTTAGCAAAGACATGTAGCAGAATACATTTTGCCCTAAATTTACGACATTTGATTTTTAATTTTTTTTTTTATAGGACTGGTTTAATAGCAAAAAGTCAAACATGTTTTTTTTTTCTCAAAATTGTCGGTCTTTTTTTTTTATATAGTACAAAAATAAATACACAGGCGATCAAATACCACTGAAAGCTCTATTTGTGGGGGGAAAAAAAGGATGTAAACTTAATTTGGGTGCAACGCTGCATGACCGAGCAATTGTCAGTTAAAGTAACGCAGTGCCGTAACGAGAAAAAAAAATGGCCTGGTCAGGAAGGGGGGTAAATCCTCTGGAAGGCAAGTGGTTAAAGGACTATTTTGGAATGTGCAGTCTGGTACACACTTACCTCATTCTGCCAGGGGATTGGCACACATCCAGTTGCAAATTTAGCATAGAAATCATTGTCTGTTTTGTCCAAATTTACACCTTTAACCGTCGAAAACTGCTCAATGTCCAGCACGTCTTTACAATACACCGCCCGGGGCTGAGAGGAAAACACCAACATACAAGCTCCATCACTATATAACTTATGGTAGAACCTAAAACATACACATGGTCATTACATTATACTTAAAACATGGTGACCTGTACAAAAGATTCTACATGACCCAAGTTGGACCTTACTGAAATTATGTTAAAATGCAACTCTAGCAAAAACATTTTTTTTTCATTCTTTGTGAGTATTGTTACAACCTGGGGTGGACTGACCATTTGGAAACTCGGGCACTGCCCGAGGGCCCGGGGTCAGTAGGGGCCCCCATGAGATGCCCCTGGTACCTTTTTCATAGGCTTTTTTGAATTTGGGCAAGGACACAGGGGCCCCATGATCCCCTATTGCCCGGAGGCCCCATGAGTTGCCAGCCCACCCCTGGTTACAACTATAGTCAAGTTTACCAGCTGTCTCTGTCCCCATCAGAGAGTTCCCCGTGCCATCTTTCTTCAGAAACACAGCACGTAGGGAAAGTCCCATGTCTAACGGATGTCAGTGAAACAAGTGTCCCTATATGGCGATTTTTCTACTATGATGAATGGGAATCCCAGACACAATGGTCACCAGACAGAACAAATAGTGAGGTTGGATCTCCCAAATGGGGAAAAGTCATCAGTACAAACTTGACAGAGATTCTACTCAAACATAAAAAATAAATGAATAAATCTAGTATTGGCCAGAGTTACAATTTAAAGAATAATTCTAAGTATAGGCATCTTATAGTTACATTGGCTCAGCTTGGTCCAATGTAACTATGTATACAGTATACCTGGCTGATGAAGTAGACACTGCAGAGCGGCTGGCCTGCTGCCTTGTGAATACATCAGGTTGACCTCTCAATACATATGCCATCCAGAGGATGCATCACATTTTCTGAATGAACGCCAAGTGTTCTCTAAGTGGACGAAGTGGAGAATGTGACATCAGTCACCCCACCTCATTCAATCGGAGAACGCTTTGCACTCATTCAGAAAACGCAAAGCATTCTCTGGATGGTGCCTGTGCTGAGCAGCCGTCTTCCTGTTCGCAATGCATCAGGCTGGCCGCTCAGCATGGGACCCAGAAGCAAACGGAGATCACTGGATTAGCGATGTCTTCTGGCAATTTCCAGTGGTATCGTCCAGGTATGTCATATACAGTGCTGAATATATAGTTAATATAATGATCCATCTCCAGCCCCAACTACGCCCACAACCATTCTGTCAAATACCAAATCAATTGGGCACAAACCAAGAGTATCAAGAAGTTATTTTTTTACTTTTGTGATAATACATAAGTGAGCCTCACCCCAACCGAATGCAACCTTAGTGAACATTAAGTGTTTTGGCAGTGAACAAGCATTGTCAGAATAATCCTTTCAAATTTGTCCTGTGAAAGGCAATTATATTGCTATATGAGCATAGGGAAGAAGGACTGTTGCTGAAGGGGTATCATTTAGTCCAATGACACAACGTACATAAAAATCTATTACAAAGCAGAAGAGTCTACTATATCTCACATTTTAAGGGTCTATAGAGAGAGCATCAAAGAAAAGGTAGATTTATTATAGTGTGGTAGGTTTACTGCTGAGCCCTTATTCTAGTGGACTAAGACCTACACCAAGATCTGGCATCTGTCTCCCTGGACCCTCACCCGCTTAAAGCAGATACAGCATTGAATTTCTATGACAGGTAACAAACCATGATCTGCATCCATGGTGCCCACAGAAGGTATAATTAATGCTAGCCACCCCCAAAGTGTACTCATCTAAAAAAAATAAAATGTATGATGGTTTTTTTTGTTTAAATATCTGTGTAGGAACATTGTCTATTTATGAAAAGTGCCCTCAGCTCAATGGTAATAATGAACACTTACATCTGGAACAAAAGACGGCTTCATTATTCCTGCCTCCAGCCTCTTATAGTTGATGTTCCCGAGAAACTGATGCTGCTTCACCTTACTGGCACCATGTTCATTGCACCCCAGCCTCTGCTTTGGGTCTTTGGCTAATAGCTGCAGGAAGAAGACAATAAGAACTGAAGTGTTTCCCATTATTCCTTACTTTCCTCTCACAGAACTTGAAAATCACATTTTTAAAAAAAAAAAGGAACCTGTTACTTAAAGACAGTAACTGCAGAACTGGAAAAGCAGCTAATGACTACTTGTTGCTACATAAACCAGGGAAAATGATGCTCCGGAGTTTGGATATATTATACTGGACAACAAAGGGTGTGATGATCTGGTGAGGGGCCTGAGATTGTACAGACCACCTGCAGTGTTTGATGGATTCAGCCTTGAAAAACCAAGATGCCAGTTAAAGTCAGAGGACATAGGTTGATTCAAGACTAAGGTACTTAAAAAAGTGAAATAGTTTGCAGTAGAATGACACTTTAAGATGCTAAAGAGTTCAATATGGTTACAGTTTCTTATATCTCTATGAAACTTTATTGGTGAAATCTCTGCATTTGAATTTCTGGATATGAACTCCTACTGTTGACCTTATGAGGGGTTCCCATACTTAGGGTTGCAGAATGCAAGAATGAACAACATCCCTTCTGATAGCATGGGCAGTGATAGGTACTCTTTACCGAGACATCTGGGGTCTATTACTGCTGGTTCTCATATATGCGGCCGTGCGGGCCACGTTTTGCATGGGCACGAGAGCCCATTCATTTGAATAGACTCGCGTGCCCCGTGACATGCAGGGAAGAAGTCTCTGCACTTCTTCCCAAAACAGCCCGCACGGGAACCTCGGTTCCCAGTACTGTTGCATTTTCCAGTGCGGGCAGCGTGCCATTAGAACTAATGGCACCCGCCCGTGGGTCCACATTCCTCTGTGCGGGTGGTGCGGCTGCACGGATTTTAATGCGGATCCGCAGTCGCACCACCCGCACAGATGTGAACCTAGTCTTAAGACACCACATCTCTCCTCTGCCCTCAAAAGCATCTAATCAAACTGAAATCTGATCAGATGCTGGGCAGGCCGGTAACTGCCTGTAAACAACTCAAAACCGGAAGTGACAAAATCCTTGTCATTTGTGGTTTCATAGGCCACAGAAATGATCAGGGAATGCAAGTTCCTCCCTCATGGTCAGCAGGCGCAACTGTGTGTTTTAGTCCCAAACTACCTGAGAGCCTGTTAAGGCAGGGGGCTGACATTATCTTCCACCACATGTAAAAGATTCAGTGGCTGTATAGCCGTTCTGATCACTTATACATGATAGAGCATCGCCGGCTGAAAAAAAAATAAAAAAAAACATTACTAGGGTCATGACTGCAGTCATGACTGCAGCCATGACCCTGTTTGTAACCACCGAAACACCAAAGGGTATGTGCTAAGGGCAGCAAGTGATTAAGAACAAATTTTCTGTAAAACAAAACCCACACTAAAGTTAGTTTTAGTGCAAACAAAGGCATTATATTACCCATTTATTTTTTGGTAAAATTTAAAAAATGAGGTTGTACCAAGTAAATGGATGCCCAACATGCCTGGCCTTAAAATTGAACATGCCTATGAAGCAGCGATAAACTTTGGTATCCAACATTTTCCATAGGCAACACTATTAAAGCTCGTACAGGTCATCAGTTTAGAGTTAGCCATGAATAATGACCTAGAATGATTGATTTCATTCTGCTTTGCCCAATATTATATAATGCATTCACCACACCAAGGACCATTTTTGGTTTGGGGTCTAGACAAACTTTAACCAGTCAGGTCCCACTTATAACTAAAATATCACTTTTTAGTAGATTAACCCTTTACGTTTAAATATATCTTTTAAAGAGCATCCATCTCAAGCTCCGCTGAAATCACAGCTTTTGAAGGACAATTCATTCAACCATTTCAAAATCAGAGAGACCATAGGTGTAATTTGTAAATGAACGCACAGAAAAGAGTAAGTTTGTAAATGATGGCCGTTAAATGTGGACAAAAGCTTCTATTCAGCTGCATAAAAGATGTAATTCAAGGGTCATTCAAAAAAATATAACTGAACACTATTAGCCGTTCATGATCGTTCACAAGATGTTACATCACAGAAAGCAAAACAATAGTCTAGTGAAACTATATTGAGATCAGCTCAATCCCTTTAGGATTAAATTTAGTGGTGTTATTATGCGTCAATTAACTTGACAATAAGTCTACAACTACTTTTCTATAACAAAGTAATTTTTTTTTTTTTTTTTTTAGTACGTAAAAAACGTTTTTTGTTGCATTGCTTTCATGAAAAACGCTGTTATGCTTTTCATTTATAGGTTGACAAATGCTTAAAAAAAAATGTAATATTGTAATGGATGTGACATACATTATACATCTGCATGTAAATCAACCTTTACTTATTATTCAAAACAGTTATTGTGAACAGAAGTTCTGTCCTATTGTGTGATCTGTTTTCCTATCTTTTTCTTTATGGCACATCATTCACAATTTAGAGATGTCAATTTGCCTTATATAAATATTGCTTATTTGCTTTATTCCTTTACAATCCAAATTTCCTTTTTATCTTCTTTTTCTAATTCTCATCCCCACTATAAGTCAATATAGGATTTAGTCTCTCTTTTCTCTATGGCAAATAAAGCATGTCACTCTAATAATTCCCCTTTTTCCTAGAAAACCTTAACAAAACATGTTCCTCTACTTTTCAGGGCTTCTTATCTATATCACCTGTGTGCTAAGACATTTGCCTGGAGTTCAGCTTTAAGCCCTATACCTTTCTCCTAAACCCCAGGATACAAGTAGCCGAAGTATTGAAAAATAATGTTTTTTTATTTTTCTGGCGATTCTTCTAACATAGTAGAGGGGTGACACTCCCGAGCCCAGCCTTGCAAAAAATGGCCATTGCCCCAGTCTATAACTGGCTTATGCAGTAAGGACACATGAACGGGCAACACGTCTAGTGCACCCACTTACCTACAATTCAACAGTGCAAAAAATGGCCACTGCCCCGGGCCATAACTGGCTTGTGCAGCAAGGACACATGAACGGGAAACAAATGTAAAGTAAAAAAAAATGGGAGAAAAGAAAGTTCCAGGTCAACTTGCCAGTCAGATTGCCAACAACTGAATTAACCTAACAGTATGCATTAAAAACAGGTCCCAGACACCTAGGCCTGGCTGTCTGGATTTGGAGTTCTAGATGTGTCTACCCTGATACCAGAACACACACAAGCTCCTTTTCTTACCATCGTACAAATGGATTTTGCGTATTCTGAGAACTTATCAGAATAGGACTCTTGTTCCTCCTGAACACGCTTCTCCACTTCTTCCCTTTTCACTCGTTCCTTCCGTGCACGGAATGGTGACTGTCCCTCAATCATCTCATAAATGAGGCAGCCCAACCCCCACCAGTCTGGGCTAAATGTATATCGTTCGTTTTTAATGACTTCTGGAGCTGAAGAAATACAATCAGTGAGGATGGAACACATCAAATCAGATCTATAAAAAGACAATGACCATTGATTGGTAGATTGTGAAATGATATGTGAAAATGTGAGGATACACACCCATATATCCAACTGTCCCTACTCTTCCTCTAATACTTTCCCCATCTGGAATTTTGATGGCCAGTCCCAAGTCTGAGATTCGTATATGACCTAGGTAGAGAGAGAAAGAAAAAAAAAAAATAAATAAAAAGTTAATTAACATCCAAAACTAAAAGAAACAAGCCGAGTCCATGTGAAAGGAGGGTAGTTTCAGCTCTCTATTTAGGGGCTTTATGTTGAGAAAATAAAACTGCTGTCAGTCCAAAAGTCTATAAGATTTATCTGCACTAGCTCGGAGTCTAATGATTTCATGTCCTGATCACCTGAAGGATGACTTACTGCTAGGGATGTACCGATACCTTTTTTTTTTTTTTAAATTGGTCAAGTACTCACCGATATCAATACTTTGCAGTGCGATTTCCATCCATACAAAATGTATGGATGCAAATTGCACTGCAAATTGCATGCATTTTGAACAGGAATCTGATTCCTGTCCAAATCGCATGCGGTTTTCCCCCTGCTCCTGTGTGAACCCAGGCTGTCATAGCCTGAGTTTGCAGAGAAGCAGTGCCGGAAGGTTTTCCCCAGCGGAGAGTGGGTGTGTGGGAATGTATATTATGGTGGCAGATACTCCATATTCTCAGTGGTAGGAGAGGAGAGAAAATGGCAGGGATTTGAAATCTCCGCTGCTTTCTCTCCTCTCCTTGCAGGTATGACTGTTCGAGCTAGAGGGCTTTTTGATTGGTCAGCACCGTCACATGGACGGTGCTGACAAATCAGATGCTGTCTAGCCCGCACTGTCATCCCTGCAAGGAGAGGAGAGAAAGCCGCTTCACAGGTCTGGGGATTTGAAATCCCTTGAGCTTTCTCTCCTCTCCTTTCAGTAATGGCGGTGTGGGCTAGATGGCATCTGACTGGTCAGCGCTATCCATGCGACGGTGCTGACCAATCAAAAGCCCTCTAGCCTGAACTGTATTGTATTGACACCGTAAAGTATTGGATTCCAGTATTGGTAGCATTTTCACAAGTATGAGTACTTGTGAACATACTCGGTATCGGTGCATCCCTAGTTCCCTTTACAGGACACTTGAGGTCTTTCATGTAATCCAATGCTCCACTTAGCTAAAACCTAGATACAGCGAGAAATATTAAAGATGAATACCAGGTATGGCAAATTTTTTACATAGTTACATTGGTCCAACTTTGCCCAATGTAGGTATGTATGTACTATACCTGTGGGATCTCCCAGGAAGCCGAAAATCACTGTAGTGGGCATCATTACTCCAGTGATCTCCACTTGCTTCTGGACCCTGTGTCAAGCGGCTACCTTGTTGCATTGTGAACACAGGAGGTGGTGGCATGAGCAGCATTCAGAGAACACTTTGCATTTTCCTAATGTCACTTAATCAATCCAGCAAAAAGTTATACTTCAGTTTTTGGTAGGTGCTGGAATTTAAACTACTTGACAACTTCTTACATCTCTAGGCCACCTTCTTTGGTCATTATGAGTCATTCCCAGGCTCCTCACAGGATTTAAAATGTTTTATATTATGGAGAGTGTAACTGGCAGAGCTAAAATACATGAAGATGGATGGAAACACACACCCCCCCCCCAAAAAAAAAAAAAGAAAAAAAAAAAGAAAAACTATCTTTGTGCAGACACAAGGAATTTAAAGTGTCTGTAAACCTAACAATGAACCCTTTTTTGCTCCATCTGGGTCTGTTAACTATACATCTGAAAGAGTTTTAATGTTACACAAGCCAAACACCAGAACCATCAACTTTTCTAAATGCCTTTATTTGACTAGAGACAGCATGACGGCGTACAGAATGCCCTTCCCAGGGCCCGCAATTCGATAATCCTGTCCTTACTTGACCTTTGCAGTGTAAGGCTCCATGTACACTGCAGCTAATAAACTCACGTTCAGGAGCTTTTCTACGTTTTTTTTTCGGCAGCCCCTGAACTCTGCCTAATGTTTTACTATGTGTCCATGTACACATTGTCGTTTACAGGCAGTTGAGTTTACAGTTGTTTTTTTTAACGCACAAAACTTCCGTTCAGGAGTAGATTTTATTAGCATTTCAAACGCCAAACGCTTGTAAACGTGTTTATAAGCGTTTGCATTTAGAAGCGGTTTTTAACTGTTCCAGATCCAAATGCTGTTCAGAGTCTTTTTTCATCATCAGAAATGCATGCAAAGCTTTCTCCAGGTATTCAAATGGACCCGGTACACCAGCGCAGTCAGTTCCAGGTTTTGCGTGAAGGAATAAATGGTAGAACGTGCTGGATTATACTCATGATGGGATCCATAGTGAATACAACCAGAAAAGACAGGTCATCTCAACACATACTGCTCTCTCTGCTTCTGCTCCATTTCTCTTAAAATGTCTGAAACAGTACATTTTTTACTGTTTCTCAGTGCATTTTGGAAGGTCTCCTGATGTTATCTTTAAAAAACGCTTCTAAACACAAACACGCAGTATGCAAACGGGCTAAACAGACGTTTTTTAACCTACGTTTTCCAGCAGTCAGTTTTCATCGTTTAGAAGTGTTTTCCAAACGTCTCGTGTACATGGAGCCTAAGGCTTGTGTAACTTTTTCCTTGTGACTATAATCATGGATGGGGCTCTTTAGCAGGCACCCAGAGTGTCCACAGTGGAGGCAAGGCTTCAGTCAGGAGCGGTGCCCCTCCATTTTGGATTACTTAACAGAGTTTTATCTGTCCAATATATGCAAATCAATTGCTGTTGATTTTGCAAACATTCTTGTGGACTGATAACATCCTGTGCCCTTCGCGTGTGCAGAAGGAGGGGTTCAAGAAATAGGGATGGAGTTGTTGTTGGTGTTCTGTGTAACCCATCAGCAATGAGGTAGGCAGGGCTGACACCACCTGCTTAGGAATTCAGAGCTGTGCTGTCATGTCAAGGAGGAAGGTAAGAGTATACAGGCGTACCTCGGTTTATAAACGCCTCGGTTAATGTCATTTTCGGTTTACGAATGAAAATCCATTGAAAATAATGCCTCGGTTTACAAATTGTTTTTGCAATATGAAGTGTATGTTGGTGCCGATTTTTAAATACAATTGCCGGCTTTTTTTTTTTTTTCTTCACAGAATTAGCGGTCAGTTTCCCCGGAGTTAAAGGAAGCTTTGTTTCTTTTAAGAAACTAAAAGGAAACATTGTTTCTTTTAACTTGGGGGAAATGACAGCTGAATCTCTGAGCTATAGTGAAGAAAAAAAAAAAAGCGGTAAAAAAAAGCGGTAATTACATTTAAAAAATAAAAACGGCGTGGGGTCCCTCCTCCCATCCATACCAAGCCCTTCCAGTCTGGTATGAATTCTGAGGGGAACTTTTGAGGGGATGCTCGGATACGGGTCTGGTATGGATTTTGGAGGGGACCCCCATGCCATTTTTTTTTTTTTTAATTTTGGCGTGGGAGTTCCCCTCACAATCCATACCAGACCCGAAGGGCTTGGTATGGATTGGAGGGGGGACGCCATTTATTATTTATTTTTTTAAAATTGCCGGCAATTCTTTTACATTCAGCTGTCAGTGGGGAACCCCGCTAACAGCTGAAACATTAACACATGGTTGTCACTACTAAAATACCGCATGACTTGATAAAATAACTCATGCAGTATTTTAGTAATGTTTACTTTTTTTTCTGACCTCAGGAACGGATTAATTGGTTTTCAAAGCATTCCTATGGGAAACAGCGTTTCGGTTTACGAATTTTTTGCTATACGAAAAGTCCCGCAGAATGAATTATATTCGTAAACCGAGGTATTACTGTACTAGGTTTCTGGCCCACTAGAAGTTATTTTTCTATACTTGCAGCGTGGTTAAAGAAATAAAACATGGAGAAACACGCTTGTATTCTATAGACATGCTAAATAAATTTATTTTTTTTATTTTGCACTGACATACGCTTTATGTGCCCATTAGCTTTTCTCCAATTTAGACAGAGACATGAAATAGGATCCCTTTTGCACAGTTGCTGCCTGTGATGAGTAGAACTTTCACATAAAACAACATTTTCATTATATGTTTAATGGCTCTGAAATGAGAAGTTGTGTATAAGAGGAGGCAATTGGGAAAAACTGTTCACATCAAAGCGTGACGGAAACCGTCACATCCGCTATGAAATTACTACTCAGGGCAAACCAATAAAAATAACGGAGGTTCAGCTAGTCTTCCATCCCAAATCACAGTGGTGATTACTTTCAATGACTCCAACTCAAATAATACTGATGTCAGAGATTGTTGTTTTAAACCTAGAACGAGTGATAACAGGTTTTATCTGAATAAATTACATAGAACACAGGTCTTATTGAGAGATTACCGTAAGCAGTGTGATCATTACAGGCTCGTTACACTCAGGACGGTCAATAAAACATTCCCAGAATACAGATATGTGAGAATGCTTTATCTTCACTGTGCATATAGGTAAAGAGATCCAGATGCCAGCTTAATAAGAGTAACTGCATAAATTGCAGATAAAAATACAGAAAAATCAAATATTTTAAAGACTAAGTTCACCTTTAGGAACAAGTTACACCTATATTTATGGTATAACAGGTAGAATTGCTCCTATGCAGCCACCTCACACTGCCAGCGCTCCCTGCTTTGTGACACCGGACATGGGATTTCTTCTCGCACCTGCTGTCACAATTTGAAAGCAGCAAAGCTCCGCCCACACGTCTGCATCATTCATTTACAGTTTCCTGTGAATTAGACTACAAGTACTGTCAGCCATTGCAGCTGATGGCTTGTGGTTCTTAATGAACCACAAGTTTGTTTTGTTTTTGGAGATGAGAAAAATGAAAAAGCCGTAAGTAAACAGAGAAGTACACTTTAGGGGTGTGCTTCTGCCTACCCCCTGAAGGGGTAGGACCTCTACTCTGCTGCCCCGGGGTGCAAGGCTCCTGACGGGGACAACATGGTCCACCTTGCCAAAAGGCCTGGCGGACCCCTGTCCTTGTGACCAGCCGAAGCTGACCACCAAGTACTTGGTCAAGGGGCTCTCCCAGAAACAGACCCCCTCCCCCCAAGAATTGGGGGAGGAAGGAACCTAAGGGCCACACACCCTCCCCCTAGACGTCAGAGCAGACCCAAGGACCAGCACCCTCCATCCAGTGAGAAAAAAAAAAAAAAAAAAACAACACACACATAATTGAAAGGTGACAGACACATGGAGAAAAATAAATATGTGGCCGTGCAATTGTGTACAGCTAAGGCCCTGAGGCCCATAGTAAAGACTGCCCTGGACTCAGCCAAAAGGCCTAGCCCTAAAAGTCGCAGTGCAAAAAAAGTGTTTAGAGCTGTGACCATGTGCACTTTTTACACATGGGATCCCACCCCCATGTGTTACTAAGCCAGACAAGGAAGCCCCGTTCAAATCAGGAGGAACTGAGCCCACCCGGTTTTCCTGGGGGAATTACTCCCGTACCCCAACTGCCTGTGGGCACCCCGGTTTCTGTTCCAGCCAGTACTAGCCTTCAGTGCCCCCATCAGGGGAACTATACAGCCAGCCATTCTCACCAAAAGGCAAGAATGATGAGGTGTGGGCAGACAACTTACTGAAAGTCTGCAGGATCCTGGCATTGCACCCGTGATCTGCTGATTGCAATGCTTTAAAAACTGCAATGTAAAAAACTATTAAAACGCACATTTTTTTTATCTTTTATTACAAAAAGTGAACTTATCCTTTAAATGCTTCTCTGCAGTGTTTTTTTATTTATTTTAGGTACTTATATAGCACCATCAATTTATGCAGTGCTTTACATATATATTGTACATTCACATCAGTCCCTAACCCTCAAGGGGAATACAATCTAAGGTACCTAACTCACATTCATACACACACATACTAGGGCCAATTTAGACAGGAGCCAATTAACCTACCAGCAGGTCTTTGGAGTGTGGGAGGAAACTTACGCTGGCACAGAGAGAACATGCAAATTCCAGGCAGGAGGTGCCGTGGTTGGGATTCGAACCGACAACCCTAGTACTGCCAGGCGGAAGTGCTAACAACTTAGCCACTGTGCTTCTTTTATTTCCATAAAAGATTTTTTTTCCCTTGCACTGTGCTAGAAAACCTGACTACTCCAGGATGAGTCAATTCCCTAGCACAGCCCTTCCGTCCCTACATATGCTAGCCTTCTGCTTTTCTGGGAGTGTCTATTTACTCTCTGTACTAACCCAACTACCTCACCCCTCTACAAATCTTATGTAGCTGCTGGGGAGGACCAAAGGGGAATAATATAGCGTACCACTTATATACCAGTTCTGAGTCAGCTGGAGCTGCTGACACCACATCCAAGATGGTGGCATCCATCAGCTGTCTGAACGCTAAGGGAGGCCAACACAAGGAAACCGCAGTCTATTGGGAAAAGCTTCCAGTCCAGCTTTTAATGTACTTTCCCTGACTGCGGTGACCTCAAACATGTCTGCAAGCTTTGCTATGGTCTCATCACTGTGCAAGCCAACTGTAATCAGAGATACTGGACTGGCAGGGGACCAACATCAACACCTCAACTCTTCTTCATCCTATCCAAAATACAGTAAAAAAAAAAAGTTTTCGCAGCCACTAGCCAAGCTTTTATTCACCAAAAAAGTTCCCTGCTGGAAAGATTTATTGCACTTCTTGTACGAACAAGAAGAAAAGCATGAACAAAAATCTAATAGGAACACAGACCAAAAACAAAAGCCAATTTTTCTTTAGCCATCGTAAGACTTCAATACCATTATGTATATATTAAGTAGGTAAAGTCTACAGGCTTGGAAAAATCCGTATGTAAATGGATAGAAAACTGGCTAAAGGATCGTATTCAAAGAGTAGTGGTTAATGATTCATACTCTGAATGGTCTGGGGTAATCAGTGGTGTACCCCAAGGTTCAGTGTTGGGACCCTTACTTTTTATATATTTAAAAATGATATAGGGTCTGGGATTACAGATGACACCAAGCTGTGCAGTGGAATAACGTCCTTACAGGATGTCTCCAACTTACAAGCCGACCTCAATGCTCTGTTTAATTGGGCAACTATGTGGCAAATGAGGTTTAATGTTGATAAATGTAAGGTTCTGCACTTGGGGACTAAGAATATGCATGCATCATACATACTAGGGTACTGGGGGGGTACAACTGGGGGAATCAATGGCGGAGAAGGATCTGGGAGTTCTGGTAGATCACAAGCTTAATAATGGCATGCAATGCCAAGCTGCAATTTCTAAAGTGAGCAAAATCCTCTCTTGTATTAAAAGAGGTATAGACTCCAGAGAGAGAGATATCATATTACCCCGGTACAAATCATTAGTAAGACCTCATCTGGAATATGCATTTCAGTTTTGGGCACCAATTCACAAAAAGAACATTGGGGAACTGGAGAAAGTACAGAGAAGGGCAACCAAACTGATACAAGGCATGGAGGAGCTCAGCTATGAGGAAAGATTAGAACTGAATTTATTCTCTCTTGAGAAGAGGAGATTAAGGGGGGATATGATCAACATGTATAAATACATCAGTGGTTCACATAGTGAACTTGGTGTAGAGCTATTCACCCTGAGGTCATCACAGAGGACAAGGGGGCACTCTTTACGTCTGGAGGAAAAGAAATGTAATCTCCAAACACGGAAAGGTTTCTTCACAGTGAGGGCTGTGAAAATGTGGAATAGACACCCTCAAGAGTTGGTTCTGGCCAGCTCAGTGGATTGCTTTAAAAAAAAACCTGGATTCTTTTTTAGATACACAGAATATAACTGGATACTAACATTTATAGGTAAAGTTGATCCAGGGAATATCTGATTGCCTCTCGAGGGATCAGGAAGGAATTCTTTTTCCCTGCAGGAGCAAATTGGATCATGCTTTGATGTTTTTTTTTTGCCTTCCTCTGGATCAACTGTGGGCATAGGATTATAACTTTTTCTTTTTAATGGTTGAACTGGATGGACTTTTTTTTAGCCAGACTAACTATGTAAGTATGTGTATATATACACATTATTAATTTGTGCATACACACACACTGTAGATAATGGGAAATTAAATGAAAAAAAAAAAAAAAAACAGGCCAATTGGCACTGCTAGCAGAGTGGAGACGAGCAGTGCTGATGAACACCCTGACAGCAATGATCCTGGCCACCTAGCAGATAAAGGAAGCAAAGAAGCAAGCCCTCCCATACTCAGACCACAGTGCAGGGACATGTTTCAGACCCTAAGCCTGGGCTGACACGTGGTACAGGAAACCGTATGTGTAAGCAGCTTTTTTTTGTGCCTCACTGGAATCGGATCGCATGAGTGTTCAGACCTATGCAATCCAATTCTGGCAATCGCACTGTGTTTTGCAACTTGTTTTCGGGGTGTCATTAACTTAACACTGACACCCGCAGCAGATCGCATGATTTGGATGCGGTACGGGAAACGCACAAGATGCACTGCGTTTCCTGCCCTGTATATATGAACCTAGGCCAAAACATGTGCCCATCCTGTACACTAATCTAGAAGAAGCCTTGCTTCATTCATCTGTACAGGTGGCTGAGGAGTGTCACTGTCAGGACACCTATCACTGCAGTTTGTTTCCACTCTGCTCCCTGGATCTGTGGTCAGGGACTATAAATGGTGCTTTCAAGCCCCCCTTCCTCTAGTGGGGAATGATTATACACTTTACTTACCTCTGCTTTCGTGAGTGCACTTCTGCGATTTTATCTTTGAATAAAGTGTCTGTTTTATCTGACCTTTGTTGTCTGCTCTCTAATAGGAAGTCATTGGTTGTCTTTGCAAATAAAGAAGTTTTAAATTGTCTAAAAAGATGTTTGTAACCAGAATTAGAAACACAAAAATCTATTTCTATCTATATGCACAGACAAGAGACACACAAAGTAATGTGTCAGTAACTTACCATCATCATCTAAGAGAATATTTTCTGGTTTCAGGTCCCTGAAAAAAACCCAAAAAATACTAAATATGCTAATAAGTAAAAAAATGAGTTTCATGTTATTATATGTAAATTAAACATGTCATTGAGAACAGGTGATCCAGCTAGCAGAGATGTGAGTGCCTCTGAATTCATTATAGGGCTGCTCCAGTATGCCTGGTGAAGGTATATATGAATTAAATGGGCACCTGTACACATTGCTCAAATGCCCACCTGTACACTATTAGCACTTTATCCCTTGTGAGCAGCTATGGGACACGTGTAATGCGTAAATCAAAAAGCCAAACTAAAATTATAAAAGGTGCAAAAAGTGAAACTCATAAATAAAAAAATGCTACTCCTCCAAATAACTAGTGTAGTACACAATGATCAATACCATGCACTAAATATATTTATATTCCAAATTGCCAAACAAAATAATGTGTACCAGCTGCCATGCACACTAAGTGACCCTCATACTAATCACATATCAAGATAATGAAACCAACTCAGTCCTGTGCTGGTTAATAAATACCATATCTCAAATCTCCCATATGAAAAAATATCTGATTAGTCAATATTACCCAAAAGGAACCTAAATCAAATAAACAAAAAAATACAAAAAAAAAAATCAATCGTGATTGCAGGAATGTCCATCTGGTAACAGCACTGCAACTTGTAATCAGTTCTTCATGATGTATAAATTATATCAAGCATCAGAATTCCACCACCGAGCTCCACATGCAGTTCTCTGTGAATCACCTCCAGGTGTGCTCGCCCCTTATTGCTATGACCTCCCAACATGTGTTCGGTCATAAAACGCATTTGTCCTTCCAGGCAGACTGCGATCTCCTCTCTGTCAATAACCCCACCATCCGTGATTAAGCTCTCTCCTCCTCCTGCCACCTCCACTCACCACCATGTATACAATACTGTATATAGTGCTTTATCCTTAAAAGACGACTTGTATCCGAGAGCAGATCAAATACCACAAAGTACAGGTGCTGAATCACACCGTTATATAAAGCCCCAAATAGATGTGACAACTCTTCGCAATAGCACTACATTAGAACCAGCAAAAAAAAACAAAAAACTTGCCGCCTCTTGTCTGAGCGTTATGACGTCATCCAGGCTCTGCCCCACACGTTTTGTCACAGGGCACAGCACTACAAACAGTATTTTGTTTAAATGGTGGTGAGTGGAGATGGCAGGAGAAGGAGAGCTTTATCAAGGATGGTGTGGTTTACTGACAGAGAGGAGATCACAGTTCTCTTGGCAGGACAAAAGCGTTTTATGACCAAACACATAGTGTGAGATCATAGCAAAAAGGGGAGAGCACAGCTGGTGGTAGTCACACAGAAAACGGCTTGTGGAGCTCAGGGGTGGAATTCTGATTGATATAATTATAGATCATGAAGTATTTATTACAACTCTGTTACCAAATGGACATTCCTTCACGCACGTTATTTTAACATGATTTTTTAATGTACAATTTTTTGTTTATTTTATTTAGGTTCCCTTTAGGTAATATTCACTAATCAGATATTTTTGCATATGGGAGATTAGAGGTATGGTATTTAAATATTAACCAGTGCAGCACTGATTGGTTTCATCACCTGTACACTATGCCCTCCTAACATTGGTTCCATCCCCTGTACACTATCATTATAGTGCCCTCCTGGTGAAGCTCACATGGGTTATATGCCTACTTGTACACATCAGTCATATGCTCACCTGTATACTGTGCCCTCCTAACATTGGTTTCATCCCCTGTATACTATCATTATAATGCCCTCCTGGTGAAGCTCACACAGGTTATATGCCCACTTGTATACATCGGTCATATGCCCACCGTATGATATACCCTCCTAACAGTGGTTCCATCCCCTGTACACTATCATTGTAATGCCCTCCTGGTGAAGCTCACATGGGTTATATGCCCACATGTATACAACGGTCATATGCCCACATGTATACTATGCCCTCCTAACATTGGTTCCATCCCCTGTACACTATCACTATAATACCCTCCTGGTGAAGCTCACACGGGTTATATGCCCACTTGTATACATCGGTCATATGCCCACCTGTACACTATGCCCTCCTGGTGAAGGTGCTCCAGCCCACAGCAGATCTCAGCAGCATAAAAAACTACTCGCTCCTCCTCAAATCCAGGATTGCCCATGTTGTAGATGTGAAACTTGAGGTCCCCACCGTTCATGATCGTGAGAACCAGACACAGAGCATCTTTTGTTTCATACGCATACGCCAAGTTCACCTGTGTATTAAACAAACCACCTCATTAAAACCCCAGAAACAAACATACAACAACTTCCCGGCTATGCATCATATAAAACGAAGACCGCTGATGGAAAAATTAACTTTCAACAATATCATCCAATAAATGATTTCCTGATGACGTCTTATTCCCACTATCACTGGACCATTCGCAACTAATGTGGGATTGCCGCCCTGTGTCATTAGCACATGGTTTATTTTGAATGTGGATTCCAGCAGTTGGATAAGGACATTAGTCTGGCCAAGTTGGCAGAATTGTTGAGAGATGTTCCTTAGAGATAAGGTGTTAATGACTGAACACTAGGCTGTTTACATAGTTCAGGTCTAAATGTCACATCAGATTACAGAGAATTGATGTCTGGAAAAAAAAAAAAAAAAACAAAACACTTTACTCTTTTATACTTTCTAATGAAACCCTACTGAAAATGTTTTGTTCAGTTGTTGAGTGAATTAGGGACCAATTCCATGCTAAGTCTTTATTGCTGTTCAGCGCTCTGATGGAAAGAATCCCTAATCTTCCTGAAAATTTGGTACCGCCAGGCTTCTGCTATGAGCTGGACTTCATGGCAGTCTTGCATGCTCTTCTATGGAAACCAGTAAAGGGTACACGCCTGCATGTACTTCTATGGAGTCCACGAAAAGTTTGACATCAAAATTATGGTGCAACCCAGCAGTTCAAATTCCTACAGAGCTGAGACTGTCGCAGTACGTGGAACAAAAACATCTTGTTGAGGTCACAGATAGATGTAAAGACCCAGTGAGGACATGAGTGTAAAGCACAGACAAGTGTATGTACGATGGTCCTCAGGATAAATCAAGAAGGGGAATATCTCCAGTGGGAACGCAGACAGCAATAAAATCCTGAGAGTGGTTCTAACCCTTTCACACGATCAAGAGAAAAAAAGAAAAAGAAAAAAAAAAAAAAAAGTTTTGTCTTTAGATATACTTCAATTACTTCCTCACTTCAGCCCAAGAATGAAAACAAGGATTTGTGGGGATACTCCCTGAATGATTTTATAGATTACTGCAGACTGACAAAATTGCTTTTGTTAAATTTACTGAGATAAGCAGTGAGCCAACTAAAATGAGTCTCAGGATTTTGATTATTATGGTCCATTCACACCAGAAACAGCAAGTAACTTGTAACTATATATGCATTTGATGCGCGTTCAACATGCAGTTGATGAGCGTTTTTCTATATGCATTTGTCCTGTGAAGTCAAATGCACGCGTTTGTGTGCATTTGCGGTGTGGAAAAATGAAGCATGCTGCACTTTTCTGCAATGCGCTGCATTGAACTGCAATGGTGTGAACTATGCCCATAGGATAGTCTGGATTTTGGATTGTCTACAGTTGGAATGCAGTCCAAAATGCATCCAGTGTAAATGGGCCCATGATTTGGCTGCCTGTCTACATAGCTCACTAGGACAATCCTGCAGCCGGCCTTATATATTCAAAACAGCAAAGGGCTACTGGGTTCAAAAAAAATACAACTGGTTCAATGTTAGTCCTCATGCACTTTGGATGTTTTTAACGCTGCTCTTATGGGCGTCTGGCATTTATTTTTTTCTTCAACTCAATGCCCCTGCATGATAGCCTGTGTGTCCATGCACACATAGGCATTTAGAGAAGTTTACAGGAAGAAAGAAATTGCCAACACATCCAGGAGCAGCGGCATTTTGGCAGAAAAAAAGCATGACGAGTGTAAACACGTCCAGACTCACATTAATGCTAGGTATGATTAGTATTTGAGCATTTGTTGATTTCAATTGCCAGAATAAATGATCATTGTGGCAACGGAAATTGATGCACCTAAACGTAATACGCACATTTACAAGCAGCATGAGTTTGTTCTACCAAAAAGCTGCTGCCAGGAGGAAAGGTGCTTCGGAGAAATAGCCAAAGCATCTAGTATGCATGAGGTCTTATTCAAAGAAAAAACTATCCAGTGCAATTCTGCAATACATGCACATTTCCCCCGTTTTATCCCTTTAAAATGCAGCAAGTACTTAAAGTGGAACTTTAGTCAGAAATTGAGCTACTGTTGGATCACTTCATGTCGGCCCTTTTTGCACATGCTCAATTGCTCTCTATTTTTTGGCACTGTGCAAAAAAAAGCAGAGCCACTAGAAGGCGATCTGCTGACAACCTAAAGATTTACTGCTGCTCAGTGGCTCTGGGCTTCAGCCTCCTCCAAGAACAAACAAAGCAATTGTGAAGGCAATTTACAGCACACACTAAGTTCGGTAGCATAATTATGAATATGAAATGTATGTTCCTTGCTAAAGAACATTTTTTTATCAAATTATGGGTAAAGTTCAGCTTTAACAAAGAGAAAAAACAGCAAGTACCAAAAATTACCTGTTGATCTGTCCAAAATCCAGCCTGCTTCTAACTTCCTGTTTGAGCTGACAACACTGCATTTGCTGCACTGAAATCCCATCCAGTATTGTCAGCTCTGGCTAATGGACTATAAAACTCCACTTATGCCTGGACCCCCACCCTAATCTATATACCTACAAACAATGATTTGTTTCCCCGCAAAAAAGAGCTGCTGTCTTGATCCTAAGAGCCAAACCAGAAACTATAAGTAGGCGAAGGGCTCTTGGGAGGTGTAGTTCTGAGTGACATGCCAGGAACTGAGCTCTCAGCAGCTGACCCTGTAAGAATTTTAGAACCCTGTTAATGCTGTTAGAATGATTAATAACAGTGAAAGTAAAAAAAAAAACAAAAAAAAACCTTATCCTGGGGCATAATCTACAGAGGGAGAGGGAAGATCTGGTGTAAATGTCAGTAAACCCTTACAGTATAGGTCTCTGCCAGCATCCATTAGGGCCTCATTCAAACAGGCAGAGTGGCCAATGCTGTGCCTTGTTTATGAGAATGGAGCCGCCCGGTACTGTGTGCAGGCAGCCTATGATTCCCTAGGGGGACACAACTGAGATGACAGATGGGCAAGTGTGGGTGCATTTGGGGGTGCTCACTGACCCCTGCATGCCTGTCACATTAGGACAAGTGGCTGTACAGCCACTGCATCCCCATAGAGGATCATAGGCTGCCTGCATGTAACTCCAGCTCCTACATGCTGTATGGCGTAATGCAAACATCACTTTTGAGTGAACAGAGACTTGTACACATGCAAGAACTAAAAGGAGGACATTACCACAAAACGGCTGTTGACTTTTTCCAGGATCTGTTTCTCGTTTAAAGCCATTGATTCTCCTTTTCTTTTCTTGATCCTTTTCTTCTCCAGCTTCTTACATGCATACATTTTGCCTGTGGCACGGACCTGGCAGGCACACACCTACAGGGAGAGCAAGGAATAAAAATGAACAAGAAAGGCCAATAAAGGATGCAGAGATAGGGTTGTTGTTATTATTATTATTATACAGGATTTATATTGCACCAACGGTTTGCACAGCGCTTTACAAAATTAAGTTAGAAAAAGGGATAGAAAAGGGACACACGGCTTGATGACACAGAATAGACAAACTTAACCCCAAAAAGCTGGCTGATAACTGCAGTTGTGACCATAGCCCATAGTAACAGAGAATCTAGTTGCTATGGGAGGAATCTATATTTCTGCTTCAGTTTTAAAATGACAGTGAAAACTGTCCATCCAAAAACGCAGACTCTGATCCTGCTGCCTGATTGGTGTTGGTTCAATACTCTTTGGTGACCCTTGTGTTTTAACTGATGTCACCATTAGACAGCTGAGCTGATGATCTAGAAAAGCCGTTCCTGTTTATTTTTTCTGGTTGTATTTTGACCCTGGCTCCTCTGAGCTGTATCATGCTGATGAATTCTACATGGTGGACAAATGTACCTTTTTTTTTTTTTTTTTTTGGAGATTTAGGTTTTTTCATTTTAAGACTGTGTTCCAGCGTGGATAAAAAAATCAATGTTTTAGGCCAAACAGGTTATCACTAAAGCCTGGAAATCACCCTTACTGAATACGACTGCAGTCATAACTAGGGTCACTCAGGCGATGATCCACGCAAAAATTGAAGCCACTATCCTGGATTCCATCCCCAAGTTTAAAAAGATTTGGAACCCATGGGTGGAGCATTTCCTCCCGCCCAACTTTGACGAGTCCCTTCTCAACCCATAATCTATGTTTTCTGCTTTACGGGAACCGTCCTTTGTTGATACTGCGGTTATTTGGCTATTTTCAGTATCCCCTTCCTTGGTGCCGTACACCCTATCCCTCCCTTCCTCTCCCCCCTCCTCCTTTCCTTCATGTTAGGCTCTATTTGATATTTGTTGTTCACTCTTGTTAGTGCTGCCTGACTAGTATAAATGGGAACCGTACCTGTTCATTTACTGTACACCTCTAATATCCCATTTGCTTACTTATAACTTATGTTGTTATACTTTAAAACAATAAAATGTTTGAACAAGAAAAAATCAATGTTTTTAAAAAAAAAAAATCGGATTTTTTTGATTTAAATCAGATTTTTATTTAAAATCGGATTTTTTGGAATAAAATGCTTTTTGAGGAAAATATATTACCATCCAAAGGTTATTCCATCATGAAATAAAGATTAGTTTTTTAATTATGTAGAATAAGGCTGTATATGTTTAATTTTTTTGGTAAATAAATTCCATGAATCCATTCACAATGTCATGCTCTTCCAGAGGTTTTTGTAAGATTATTGGGCAGTTTCTCTGCCTACAAGATATTATCACAGATGTTTGGTTTACTTTTGCAGTTCTCAAAACTGAATTTGACTCAGCGGAGATCACATGCCTCTTCTTCACAGAAAAAATGTTACAACATGAACAGAGTTCAGAAAAAGACCTGAATCCTAACTTCTACAAACCTATGAATACAGAATCAACCCCTTCACTGCTAAGTTTCAAGAAGTTCAGTGAATAGAATAGAAACAATATTTTTCTGATTGTTTGGAGTGGAATAGATCTGCACAAGAAGAAAGTGAAACTAAGTGTGAGGAGGAAGGGGCTGACAGTCTAAGTTTCTTAAAATATATATATTTTGTTTAGCCAAATTAGTTAACAAACATGGATGTTTAAGCAAATATCATATGCTGGAATGTTATTGTTTCAGTTGAATAAATCTATTTAAATTATTATTAAGGTAATGATTATTTTTCTCCTTCCTAAGTACAACAGAAAAGTTGTCCAAATATGAATGATTAACCTATTAAACTGGGGATAAAAAAACTAATATGAAAAGTTGTTATTCTAAAAACCTTCATCTACTTGCATATTAAAGTTATACCAGCAAGAATTAGTCTATGTAGAAAACTAGGATTTAAATCAAGCCTTACTGACTAGTGATTTAAATCAGTTTGATTTAAATCAAATCCACCCTGCTGTGTTCAGTGCCAAGCCTGGGAATGCCCAATTGGCTCTGTTATGTACTTATCTTTCCTTAAAATTGAATAAATAAAATCTGCAAAAAAAAATAAAAAACGAAACTTCAAAAAAATAAATAAATAAATAAAAAATTGCTTTCCATATGCCACAGGTAAAGCAATCCTTCGCTAAAAAAACAAAACAAAACAAAAAAGTAATTTGTAGCAAACTGTTCCTTCCCCCTCCAACAACAGCTGACTTTTTTTTTCCCCTTTCATTTACTTTTTTCAGGCCACCCCCACCCCCTGCTGTTATTCTTTCCTTGGCAAGAATGACATTTCACTCTCCTCCTGAGGTAGACTTTACATTCCTCAAGAGGCATTACTTTCCCCATTCATAGAATAGGGAAGTAGACAGTGGCAGCTCCAGATTTTGCTTATTCGCACACAAAGAGTGCTGTGTCTATTTGCAGCTTTTCTATGAATGAGTAAATGAATGCCTCCAGGGATAGGTGATGTTGATATCCCAAGAGGAATTGCTAACCTTCAATCATAGAACAATAGACAAACAGACACAGTGTTAGATCTCTCTATGCGCATGATCTGGCACTTCATCACTGGGGGGGCTAAAAAGAGACAGCAAGCTTCCTGTGACATACTTTAGGATGGCATTGTGGGATTGGACTTGGAGCAGGAGAGCAGAGCCAGAGAAGAAAAAAGGTTTCCAAGTTTGTTAACCAAAAAAAAAAAAAAAAAAAAAAAAAAAAGCAGCTCAGCTCAGACTACAATACTCACCTTCAACCCAGAACCTTCACCCACAGCACCTATTCTTTGCCAAAAGATTCTCTGTCTTCCAGGTTGAAGGATGCTCAGCATCACTTAACCCAGAAGACTGAGCATTCGACTATGAGCGCAGGCATCATGGGGCCTAGGGGGTCACCAAATCACCCTTCATTTATTGCATACTGGTTGAAGAAAGCAGCACTACCATCAGTAGGGATCACCCAGCCTGGAGAAGAGGCAAAGAAGAACAAACCCCTGAAGAGTCACATGACTAGCCTGAAGACACTGAAAAAGCTTAGTATAAACCACAAAATCATGCTCCAGAAATGCAGCAGCAGTGGAGGCCAACTATAAGGTAGTAGTTAGGTGGTACAATATTATTATTATACAGGATTTATATAGCACCAACAGTTTGCTCAGTGCTTTACAATATAACGGGAGACAATACAGCAACAATACAAGAGGGATAGGAGGGCCCTGCTCCTTGGAGCTTACATAGTTCCAAGTACACTAAAGCGGATCTCCGCTGACTCTTCTGCACACTGTTTTGGGGGCTGCATGCAAATAGGATCCTTTTTCATATTTGGTGGTTCTGCCTGGTGGCCTGACATTTTTGGTAGCAAGTACACCAACTTCTCCATGTTCTTCTCCATCCAGCTTGTGTACTGAATCCACCCGAGGCCTTGTAAAGCTGCAAGTCCGAAGGACTCTCTAAATCCTATTTCATGTCATTCTACGACTCACGTCCTGGCACTGTCAAACAAGTCTTGGCAAAAGCTTGGTTGTCACCACATATTTCTATCTCGGAGGTTAAAACCAGAGTATCAGACCCTCAGAACACTATGTCAAAATCTCAGCAAGTCTTGGATCACAACATTCCAAGACGCTTTGACCACAGACTATTAAAAATGTAATATGTCTTACAATGCACCACCACCTATAACCAGCTACCCCCCATCCAATCCTCCACTTTACCTTCCCCCACTCCCCTGTTCTACACCCCTACCTTGATCCCCCTCTTCCTTCCTCTTTTTCTTTTGCCCCTCTCTAATGTCAAATTCTCTTCTGCACCATAAAAACCACTCTATCAAGATGGATATTCTTTCAAACTTGCCTATTAGATCCCGCAGTCAAATCTGAAGGCTTATGCACATACTGGTACACCCTTTGCTATTAGTGAATAATGTATTTTTTGCATGTCCTTATTCAACCTTTATGCTTTGGCTGTGGCCATGGTATCTCACTGTATATTTGCATGTTATGGCTTGCATTGTTGCCTTTGAAATCTCAATAAAAATGTTTTGAAGATAAAGCTTATAAAAAGTGGAAAACACATTAAAGCGATCATCCCGTAGCTGGAACTTATGCCTCCTAACTGGTCCTCTAAGATGATAGGCATCTTGCTATCCCACACTGTGACCTGCATAGCAATCCATCTACTGACAGGCTCAGTAAAGGAACTGCTAGTGTGACATGGACCTAAAGATTCCCGTTAAAACAAAACATTTGAGAACTTTTATTGATGTAGTGAAAAAATAAAAGGTATACAGAAACCAAAGGAAGAACATCACCGACAAAAGAAAGGGTAGGAAGCCATGAAGGGCAAACTATAAGACTCATTAAAATGAACAATAATACACGTTACCTCCCCAAATCCTCCTTTTCCTAGCACCCTGTATTGCCGGAAAGTGTCCTTAGTAACCGCTTGCCTGCAAAACAAAAAAAAAACTGCATCAGTCAAGTATGACAGTATCTCACTTATGCTATGAGCTTTGATGATGGTCCCGTGACACTCCCTGTGCTCCAAAACAAAAGGCTCATCACATACAGTATTTAAAAAGTACCATTTTACATGGTCAGACAGACCGCACACCACCCATTTTTCTACCACATGACCTGTACACAGGACAAAAGACTGCTCATCAAAATATGGGAGATAACGATCAAAGAATGATGGGATGTGGGAACATCTGACTCCGAGAACTTAAAAATAAATGGCTGGATATTTACGATTTCAGAGACTTGTCCATTTTATATGGATTATATCATTGTAACCCCCGTAGGTCAGATCTATTTTGTACACCAGTTGTTGCTATGCGTTATCCTTGTTCAGAGACTGCTATAAGAAAATTAGCTACTGAGCAGGGTGGATAAAAACCAATGATTTAAAAAAAAAAAAAAAAAAAAAAAAAAATCAGATTTTTTTAAATAAAATGCTTTTTGAGGAAAATATATTACCATCCAAAAGGTTATTCCATCATGAAATAAAGATTAGTTTTTTAATTATGTAGAATAAGGCTGTATATGTTAAATTTTTTTTGGTAAATAAATTCCATGAATCCATTCACAATGTCATGCTCTTCCAGAGGTTTTTGTAAGATTATTGGGCAGTTTCTCTGCCTACAAGATATTATCACAGATGTTTGGTTTACTTTTGCAGTTCTCAAAACTGAATTTGACTGAGCGGAGATCACATGCCTCTTCTTCACAGCAAAAATGTTACAACATGAACAGAGTTAAGAAAAAGACCTTCATCCTAACTTCTACAAACCTATGAATACAGAATCAACCCCTTCAGTGCCAAGTTTCAAGAAGTTCAGTGAATAGAAACAATATCTTTCTGATTGTTTGGAGTGGAATAGATCTGCACAAGAAGAAAGTGAAACTAAATGTGAGGAGGAAGGGGCTGACAGTGCGAGGAGGGAGGGGCTGACAGTGCGAGGAGGGAGGGGCTGACAGTGCGAGGAGGGAGGGGCTGACAGTGCGAGGAGGGAGGGGCTGACAGTCTAAGTTTCTTAAAATATATATATTTTGTTTAGCCAAATTAGTTACCAAACATGGATGTTTAAGCAAATAACATATGCTGGAATGTTATTGTTTCAGTTGAATAAATCTATTTAAATGGTTATTATTAAGGTAATGATTATTTTTCTCCTTCCTAAGTACAACAGAAAAGTTGTCCAAATATGAATGATTAACCTATTAAACTGGGGATAAAAAAACTAATATGAAATGTTTTTATTCTTAAAATCTTCATCTACTTGCATATTAAAGTTATACCAGCAAGAATTAGTCTTTATGTAGAAAACTAGGATTTAAATCAAGCCTTACTGACTAGTGATTTAAATCGTGATTTAAATCAAATCCACCCTGCTACTGAGTAAAGTGTTTAGTACTCCAGCTGGAGCACTCCTGTACATTCAATACTGTGATGTGTAAATATGATTGCCTATATATTGTATTGAAATAGAGGTACAATTTTGTCATGGAGTATATTCCTATACTATAAAATGGAGCCATGAACAGTAGATGATCAGATCTCTATATAAAGACGGATTAGTCTCCAACTCCTCTCTCTTCTCAAAGCTTCTTTTGATGCCCAAATATAAACTTGAAAAAAAGTCATGAGCCTAGCACAAGTCTCCCAGGACACTGCAATTTTGGTGTTTTTTTTTTTTTTTTTTTTTTTAAAAACAGCTGCTTTGCAAAGCATCTATGTTGCATTAAAGTGGTTGTAAAGGCTCAAGATTTTTTAACTTCATGAATTGTATGCATGAAAGTAAAAAAACCTGTGTGCAGCTCCCCCTGCATCCCCCCCAATACTTACTTGAGCCCCATTTTGATCCAGTGATGTGCACAAGAGCAGGGTCTCTACGTCTTCATTGGCAGAGACAGCATGCCACTGCTACCATTAATCACAGCCAGTGAGCCAATGAGAAGAGAGTGTGTGTGTGTGAATGGACGGACAAAGCAGTGGCTTGAGAGCGAGAATGTTCAGGTGCCACTATAGCAAGCTGCTTGCTCTGGGGGTACTTGGCAGGAGGGAGGGGACTACAAGCACCAACGGGGCCCCAAAGAGAGGAGAATTGGGGCTGCTCTGTGCAAATCTACTGCACAGAGCAGGCATGACAGGTTATTTAAAAAAAAAACAAAAAAAAGAAGAAAAATCTGCCTTTACAAATCACTTTAGAGAGTTAACTAGATCTTTGACCACGCAATGCAAATCAGGGGAGTGCTGCCCTCTCCAACAGCACACAATTACCTTTCTTTTGCTCCCAAACTCTATGTGTTCTGTCATGGGAAGTAAAAAAAAAAAAGTCATGTATAAGCAAAGTGTCATCCTAGCTAGGAGCTCACACAGGACCAAGGACTTTCTCCACACCTCCATGTGACCGTGCAAGGGCTTGGTGATTGGCCCAGCACTGTCACAGCAGATAAAGGGTAATCCGTCACATGTTCCTCCATACCTAGTTGTACAGGGTAGGTCAGCAGGGGAGAGAAGGAAAGGTGAATAAGTGCTGCTGGGAATGGAGACATTAAAAGCATTCTGTTGCTTTGCCCTTCATAGAAAAAACATGCTGAATGGGAATGTGAAATGGATAAAAATTAACCCCTTTTGGTATTCAATGATCTCTTGAAAACACAAACTTCAAAAAAGAAAATCACCAAGATATTACTGAGCATTATCAAAGCAATAAAAGCTAAAAATGGGCAGCACAGTGGCTAAATGGTTAGCACTTCTGTCTGGCAGTACTAAGGTCATTGGTTTGAATCCCAACCCCAGCACCACCTGCCTAGAGTCTGCATGTTCTCCCTGTGCCTGCGTGGGTTTCTTCCGGGTACTCCCGTTTCCTCCCACACTCCAAAGACATGCTGGTAGGTTAATTGGATCCGGTCTAAATTGGCCCTTGTATGTGTATGTATGAACGTGAGTTAGGGACCTTAGATTGTACGCCCCTTGAGGGTTAGGGACTGATGTGAATGTACAATAATATATATCACTGCGTAAATTGATGGCGCTATATAAGTACCTGATATAAATAAATATATTGCATTTTACCAATCATTAGATGTGGTGGCCCTCCTGCTGATCTATTCAGTAACACAGCTCCTGTATCAGAGTGCCTCCACTCTGGATGAAGCGGCATAGGGGCACCCTTTGAAAGCAGCATAGTCAATCTGCGGGGACAGTAGTGTTACGTAGCATGTATACATACATGAGCTCAGCGAGTTGAGCAACAAAAAAAAAAAAAATAAAAAAAAAAATGTCGGACTCGATTCCCCCATCCACACACTATGTGGATGGGGGAATCCTTCTCTCTTCTGAGCTATTGTATTTTGACAGTGGGGAGACGTCCTAGCCATCAAAATACACTGATCAGTGCTGCAGGCTATAGCATGCAGTGCTGACCAACCAATACAAACCCGACAGGGTGGTTTTACAGAAGTCAGTCAGTAAATTGACTTATGTACAAGCTCGTTGCCTATATATGGATCAAAATCGATCAAATTTCGATCCACGTACAGCTGATTTTAGATATACTAGCAGAATGAAATACACAAACAAATGGAAGCCAAACTCCAGCTAACACTTTATAAGCAGTTACAGCAACAGATTTTGTTCCTTTTGGGATAACAGCTTAACAGAAATGATTATTGTAGGCATCCATCAGTGTTAAAGGTTTTGTCTCAACCCTCCAAATGCTACATCTGTAGGACAGCTTGTTCTGTTGAAAATGAACAGACATGAGCAGGATCACCAGGTGAAAGCCTTAAAATGAATACTAATGCAGCCATCACATCTAAGAGCTGGTAAGTTGCAATATAATAAAAGTGTGCTTATGGGTTTATTACGGCTTTAAGGAAGCCATATGTGCTGTCAAGGGGGTACTGTACCAGTAAATGAGTGGGTCAGATTTTATGTGCAGGTGTTGCAGCCACCCAGTAGCCTGGATCACTGTCTGAATTCCTGCAAGTATGGCATTCAGGATGGGCTTGGAGAGGTTCATTTTAGTAGATATTAAACCTCTTTGGCTGGATGCTTAGCCAGAGTTTTTTTTTTTTTTTTTTTTTTTTTTTAGTAAATTAAAGGTTTTTCTTTTTTTGTTTAGCTTTGTTTGAATTGGGGGGGGGGGTTATTTTCTTTGGTTAATGGGTTCATGTTTACAAAAGTAATAAAAGCTTTTATGTGAATGTGATACTAATTACCACATACTTAACTTTGATATGTTTATATAGGTATTTCCATACAGTGGTTGCATGTATAAGATATGTCATAAATCTTGAAAGAATGTAACATTCCTACTGTTTGATGGATTGCCAAATGTCTTTTGACATGTATGCATATTTGGACATGTATTTGTTTGCATATGGCAATAAAAACGTTTAAAAAGAAACAAACAAAAAATAAAATTTATATACACACACACACACACACACACACACACATATATATATACACACACACACACACACACATATACATACACACATACATACATATATATATACACACACACACACACACACATATACATACACACATACATACATACACACCTCAGCAGTACGTGCCACATTCTCCCCATGTTTATTTTTTTAAATGCTGAAATTGCAGAAATATGACTGTGATCCTTTCCAGAAATGCAGTGACCCACATGCTCTCTCCCAAGCACCAATATCTCCCCAGCTTCTTATAGACGTGTGGTCTTCGCCAATCTTGAATTATGTCAGTCACTCTCTTGCATGGGAGTCAATTAATTCCGGCACCTAATGCAGGCCATAGATGGGTCAAAAATCGTCCGATTTTTTTGAAAAAAAAAAAAAAAAAAAAAAAAAAAAAAACACGAAAAATCGGTCGTTTGGTCGGCCGGCGTTACCACCAACGGTTAAAAAAAAAACAAAAAACAGCCGACAAAATCATAAAGTTCACCCCATAACTTCTGTCCCTTGCAGGTCACGGCTCATGCGCAGATTTTTGATCTGTAAAACGATCGACCGATTTGTCCATCATTGCCGGGAAAAATTGTCTGATTGTCAAAATCGGCTGCAAATTTTCCAACATGATCGATAAAAATACTGTGCAAAAAACCCGAAAAACGGCCGACTAATTAACCCACTAACAGTGTAAAAATCAGCTGCTTTTTTTTTTTTGGGCTGAAAAATTGGCCGATTTTCAACCTGTCTATGACCGGCATAAGTATGCCAAGAATGTACACCAAGCTGCACATATCAATGAGTAGAGGGGAAGGTGTTCTTTAGTTCAGAAAAAGTCCTGTGAGCACTGTGTAGACTGCCTAGCTGTGATAAGCAACATGTAGCAAGAGGGTCAAGCAGTCGTATGCAGAAAGACAACAGAGGTCGTAGTCTCAATTCACTAAGCTACAACACATGCATTATTTGCTAGAATAATTTTCAGAAATGAGCTTATTGTTACCATTCATTGCTGAGCATAACAAAGTTACAGTCTAGTAAACGAAATAACGGTTTTATACCATTACAATTACAATGCAGCTCAGAATGCAACACAGAAAACTCTTACAAAGTAATTGCCTTGATTAAATCTCACTTTGTGGCTGATTCTTATAAACACATATCTGAGTAGTAAAACCTATCTAATCAAGTTGCCAAGATGCAGTGATGTGAATGTGGTTATGGGTCATGTGTTGCCCCCGGTATTACAGATGATCTCAGTGCCCCTATTCTGTGCAGTGTTGTATGCTTGTATATTAGCATTGCACACTCTCCTTCCAGGTCCTCTTACCTTTCAAGGGATCTCCACTGCAAGAAGCGATCAAAGTACATGTTTTCCTGGTACTCCCTGAAGGGAGATCCCCGCAGAAATTCATGGAGGAGGCTGAAAATAAAAACACACAAAATGTAAAAAAAAAGACATGATGGACTATTGTAATAGGCAGCACAAGCTACAACTGTATTTCTGCATTCCAGCACCACCAAGGAAAAGATCTGTCAGTGGTGAAGGGAGCGGGTAGAGTTCATCCAGTTCTCCCAGACAGTAGGGGAGGCCTGGCGCAGGGATTAAACCATATCACACTCCACCTGAAACAGAACTTCATTCTAAACCGCACTGCTGTGCAGATAAAACTGAAACGGCTTTTCACAGGAGTGGCAGTGTCCACCACCTTTTGACAAAATCTGTGGTGGATCGCTTTTCAGATGGGTAGAGCAGCAGCTGCCAGGCGCTTGCTTGGGAGGCCATCCTACCACTTTCTGAATGTCGTTTTTTTTTTCTTTTAAAATATTATTATTATACAGGATTTATATAGCGCCAACGGTTTGCTCAGCGCTTTACAATATAAGGGAGACAGTACAGTAACAATACAAGTGGGATTTGAGGGCCCTGATCCTTGGAGCTTACAGCCTAGGAGGGAGGGGTGAGTGGTACAATAGGTAAAACTGTGGGGGATGGAGTGGTTGGAAGAGTAGAGGATTCCGGTATTAGCAGTGGGTGGGATAGGCGTCCCTGAAGAGATAGGTTTTCAGTGATCGCCTAAAGGTAAGTAGAGTAGGTGATAGTCTGATAGATTGGGGTAGGGAGTTCCAGAGGATGGGTGACGCCCTGGAGAAGTCTTGGAGACGAGCATGGGAGGAGGAGATAAGGGAGCTAGAGAGTAGGAGGTCTTTCGAGGAGCGGAGAGTACGGTTTGGGTGATATTTAGAGATAAGATCGGTGATGTAAGTTGGGGCAGTGTTGTGGACGGCTTTATATGTCATTGTTAGTGTTTTGAATTTTATCCGTTGGGCAATTGGAAGCCAGTGGGATTGGCAGAGAGGGATGGCAAATACAGAACGGTTAGTAAGGTGGATGAGTCTGGCAGCAGCATTCATGTAGACTGAAGAGGGGATAGCCTGCGATTAGGTAGGCCAATGAGGAGGGAGTTACAATAGTCAAGGTGAGATATAACAAGGGAGTGAATGAGTTGCTTAGTGGTTTCCGAGGTTAGGAACGGGCGTATCTTGGAGATGTTGCGGAGGTGAAGTCTACAAGATTTGGACAGTGAATGGATTTGGGGCTAGAAGGACAGATGGGAGTCTAGGATTACACCTAGTACCCTGGCATGAGGGGAGGGACTAATGATTGTGTTATCGATATGAAATCAATATGAAATTATAAAATATTTTAAATCACAAGAAGGAAAATACTGCACTGTAAGTATGAGCCAAGTGTTTGGCTGGCAGTTGTGGCACTTTCACATTGACCTTAATAAGCGTGTTTGACAGGCGGTGCCCCGTTAATCTTCTCATGCCAAGTTAAAATTGCCGCAGCTGCATAGCACAGCCTCATCTGACTGCACTGGTACAAATTTAGCTGAGAGGTAAAACCGCATCTTATCCACCTGTCTTTACTGCCCTTGGTCAGCTGCATGAAAAGAGCCAAGACAGAGGGCTTTGTGGAGGAGGCCCTACCTACTACAGTCAACAACTTTGAGGTTGATTTACTGAATGACTGAAGCATGATCACTTTGAATTTCATTTATCTTCATCTCATTGACTAACCTATGTGAGAATCAAAAATCACATGTAAGGGGTAAACAAAACCCAAAACAAAACAAAAACACAAACAAACCTGTATTTCTCCTTTGCTCAATTAATAAATCCACCCTTTGGATCTGTGTATACAATGAGAGTGCCCATGGTAGTTCAATAGATCATCTTTATTTTTTTTTTTAAACTGTGTACAGGGTAAGGGATAGTTCACACTAGATGCAGTCCAGTGCGGTTTTTTTTTCTGCATCAAAAATGCATGCACAGTGTTTTCCATGTATTCCAATGGCCCTAGTTCACACTAATGCAGAACATGCTGCGTTTATTCTGCACAGAACCATATTGGAACATAGCAAACTGCACCAAAAGTGCACCGGAAGGAAGTATGGTGTGAACTGGAAGCAAAAATGTATCTGGAATGCATTTTTGTAGTGTGAACTGGCCATAAAGGTGAACTCCGGGCAAACAGATAATTCACAGTTCAAACATATAAGAAAACTGCCTTATCTGCACAAAAGAACTATTTCTGGCCATTCGGATTTACACAGGCACGCCGCACAGCCAGAATGGTGACATGCCCCAGTTAATCACAGCCAGATCACCTCTCTTCCATTCAGTCTGTGACTGGACAATGAAGAAGCAGCAACAGTCTGAAATTATTTCTCTTTCCTCTCCTCCTGTTAGTATATGAATGCAGCACTCCTGATTGGCTCCAACTGCTGCCCCTCCTCCCAGTCTAGGCTCTGCTGTACAGGGGCTTATAAGAGGCTATAGCCAAGTCAACCTGGCTACCTGACAGTCTCTGACTTAGGCTGACCATACATTATTCAATTTTCTTGTTCAGTTTCCTTTCTATTTTACCTTCAAACTATGTAGTGCAAGGGCCTGCCTGATTGTATACCAATTGAAAGTGTTTAGGTTTGACCTCCTATTATACGGTTTTGGTAAATCTAAAAGGGAAATTGTACAAGAGAATTGTATAATGTATGGCCAGCGTTAGACAGCCTGAGTCATTGACCCTGACCAGCATGCAGCAAGTTGTTTTTAGAATGAAGTCTAATCTCATCTGCAAACGTGTTTCAGGTAAGTGATCCCCAATTATGGATTAGCATGATAGCTAGGCATCTAGCATGTAAGCAATGTCCATAGGCAGAAGTCTCTCAGTAGAGTGCCTTTGAGAAAAAAAAAAAAAAAATTTTTAAATCAGAGGCCTCCATAAAAAAAGAAGCTGAATCTTCATCCTTCCTGTAGTCAGTGAGTTAAAGGGTATGTAAACTCCAACAATGAACTTCTATTTTGTTTCCTATTTGGTCTGTTAAATATACCATTGAAAGCATTTTGTTGTATCATTTGATAAGTGGAAAAATACCTGTCAATCCTACTAAAAATCTTGTGAGCAATCAACTCCCTTTATTCTCTGCCTGTGCTGAATGTTATCAGTTACATTGTTTTCATCACTCTCTGACAACAAAGCCCCTATAATATGGGGCAGCACAGTGGCTAAGCGGCTGGCACTTCTGCCTAGCAGCACTAGGGTCGTTGGTTCCAATCCCAACCATGACACTACCTGCCTGGCGTTTGCATATTTTCCCTGTGCCTGCGTCGGTTTCCTCCAGGTACTCCTGTTTCCTCCCACACTCCAAAGACATGCTGGTAGGTTTATTGGCTCCCTTCTAAACCGGCCCTAGTATATGTATATCAGTATTTATAAATATGAGTTAGTGACCTTAGATTGCAAGCTCCTTGAGGACAAGGACTGATGTGAATGTACAATACATATGTAAAGCGCTGCATAAACTGACAGCACTACATTAGTACCTGTAATAAAATAAATAGTTATGAAAAGTATGGTTGGGGTTAAAAAAAAAAAAAAAAATCAAACAAAAAAAATATAATGCAGCCACCACACCGAAAGATTTTTTTTGGTATGCTTTATGTTTTTGTGGACTCGGAAGATTTGAGCACCACTGGAAATTTTGGGTGTGTCCAATGCTGGATCAGATACTCATGGTGTGGTTTATTATTTTATTTATTTCAGGTACTTATATAGCGCCGTCAATTTACGCAGCGCTTTACATACATATATATATTGGACATTGACATCAGTCCCTAACCCTCAAGGGGTGTACAATCTAAAGTCCCTAACTCACATTCATACATACACATACTAGGGACAATTTTTTAGACAGGGGGCAATTAACCTACCAGCATGTCTTTTGGAGTGTGGGAGGAAACTGGAGTACCTGGAGGAAACCCGCGCAGTCACAGGGAGAACATGCAAACTCCGGGCAGGTGGTGCCATGGCTGGGATTCGAACCAACGACCCTAGTACTGCCAGGCGGAAGGGCTAACCATTCAGCCACTGTGCTGCCCCTTCTAATACGTCACTAAATAGCGCACTGCTCATCCAGTGAACATCCGACATACCCAGAATTGTCAAATAGCAGGGGTGCTTGTAGCTCTTCAAGAGAGCAAAGATTTAATTACTAACCACCCATCAGAAAGGTGAGTATGTAACTTTTTACAGGGTGGCTTCAGTTTTAATTTTTTTTTTCCAATGGTGACAGGGTCACTTTATAAATCATAAAGCTGTATACAAGCATGCAGTGTTCATATTACATTCCCTCTCTCACCTAATACAACTGCAGAAGACTTCCTTGCTGGGATTCTTTTCAAAGTTCAACGTACATTCTTCCATCTGTGCATCAGGAATCTCTGGCACATAATCTGGAGACTGAGATGAAGGGAAAATTACAACAGGCGGAAATTTAAACAAGCTTTTTTGATTTTAAATAATTAGTACTTTTCAGAACCTGAAGAATTGCTCTCTGTGCCCTGAAAGCTTGAACTTTCTATAAAACGAATAGTAATGTTTGTGACAATCATTTCTATAAAAATGCTATAAAAGAAAATGGCTCTTGCAGAAAAAGGAATTGAGCTGTGACTGATAACTTGACTAAATTGTATGGAAAAAAAAAATAGTCTATAATAGAAAGATATTTTGCTCATTCAAGAAACTGAAGTAACCTTAAAGAAAAAGTGCACCTCTGCCCAGATTATGGGAATTAAACTAAGCGCTAATGGAATTAGTTTGAGTCCTGTTTCCCTGTCATTTTTAGTGCATATGTCCCAAGAAGAAATAAAAAGTGATTTTAACTGGATGTGCGGCCATTGGAAGTGTTTTGTCTACTAATGGACATTAAACTACTTACATATTCTTAAACAGTAAAAAACTTTTATAACAAGCCATCCCCAACCTTTGTAGCTGCTTGCACTGTGAAGTTGTTCATTCTCCAAAACCTAAACAGACTCCAAAGAAGGCAGGAGATATGGGTGTATGGCACTGGTTCACCTTTTTGTTTTTTCTGTAAAGGTGAACTAACACTTTAAGATGGATCTAACCCCCCCTATCCTTTACAGGCAAGGAAGCTGTCATCTACTGCTGGGATACACACCATCAGGTTTTTTTTTTATCCCACCCAGCTGCTAAATGAAAAAAACTGAAGAGCTCAGGAGAAGCTTGCTGTACCAACTATCGGATGTTAGTACAGCGATCTCCCTGCTGAGCTATTGTTTTCCGACAGGGAACATGCACCCCGCCAGACCACACCAGCCAGCGCTGGCAACCATTGGCTGCCAGTACTGATGAGATACCAATTGGATGCTGTTTTTCCAGCATGGCCAGCTTCTGTCAGACAGGCGGGTATACACATTGGCTGAATGTCAGCTGGTTTCTATTGAACAAGCCAATAATCTGCCCATGTGTATGGGCCTTTAATCTGTTAGATCTGCAGCTGCCATCGTGCTACACATCTGACCACCTAAGATATCAGCCATTTGATGACTTTATGGTTCATTAAGAGCTGACACAAGAACACTAGTAACTGTAACCGTTATCACTCAAGGCATGCCTTGAATGTATGGCTTTGATAAACATTTATATCGGTGGGTTGTGCTTCAAGAATATGTAAATACTTTAGTGGGCACAGATTTACTTTAAGGGCTGGCGGACAGTGTCTTGCAACATTACAATGCCCTGCTTAACCACTTCCAGTCCGGACACTTTCACCCCCTTCCTGTCCAGGCCAATTTTCAGCTTTCAGTGCTATCACACTTTGAATGACAATTGCGCGGTCATGCAACACTGTACCAATATGAATTTTTTAGAGACAGATAAAGCTTTATTTTGGTGGTATTTATTCACCACTGGGATTTTTTTTTTTTTTTTGCTATGTCAATAAAACAGTCCAAAAATTTTGAAAAAGTGTTTTTCTTATAAAATTTTGCAAATAGTATTTCTTCATAAATCTTGGTCAAAATTTATTCCGTTATATTTTTAGTAAAAAAAAAACAACCCAAATTAGTTTAACCAAAAATTATAATTTTTAAACGTATTTTTTTATTTATTTTTACATACTGTCACCCTAGCAGTACGTACGTACGTACGTACGTGCGTGCGTGCGTGCGGTGGGGGGTGGATGAGGATTTTTTTTTTTCTTCACTGATTGCTTTTACACTCATAAAGGCTATAAAAGCAATCATTTCTCCTCCTCTCTGTCTGCATTCTTGCAGCCATTGAAAACTACTGAGCGAGTTGTGATTGGTTACAGCTTGTCACATGGTACAAGGCTGTTGTGAATAGCCTTGTACCATATGACCTCTGATCACAGATTTCACACGTAGTAAGCAATGATGAAGTGACATCTTGCTTACTACTCTGCATATGATCACTGATTGGCCAATCGGTGATAATATGATCGGGACCTCGTACAGAGGTCCCGTCCGACGATAGGTGTTCCACTGTGTCCAGAGGACACCGGATCGCGGTGCTGCATGCTCCCAGGGAGCGCGCACAAGCAGGGTGCAGGGAGGCCGTTTATAAACGGCCACCTGACCCTGCACTACAACGGCCGGACGGGAGGTGGTAAATACTGACATTGAATTTATTTCTGTTGGGCTGTGGTGACCAGCAGTGACTTCTGGTGCTTTGGTAAAAATGCAACATCAGCATTTTTACACAACACACTGCAACCCACTTCAGGAGAACATGGTGGTGTGAATGGGGCACATAGAAAACAATTATTTTCTATATGCCCTTACAGTGACCTGCATGCAACCGATCATGTGCAGAAACATCCAGGCCTCCGCACATGGTGTGGACAGGCCCCAAGTGTACTCCGTTAGTACATTTGAAGCACAATTAGCTAAGCACACCAAGATAAGGATCCTAATTTTCAAAGAGTCCGAAAGCTGAAAATAACTTAACGTATCCATGTGTAAAGCCTTGCGACTTAAGCCGAATTTCAGTAAGTACTGCAAAGATTAGCCAATAGTAATTGTTGAGGAATTGCACATTTTCCATTTACCTCCTGTGAGAAGTGAGGGAATACAAAAAAAACATACATACTGTCCCTGCCCCCCGCCGGCTCTAAGCCCCAGAACTGAATGATCATATGACCACTTATTGTCCAGTTCTTCACTGAGCAGAGAGAGGTGACTGTCACCAGCTCTCTGTCTGCCCCTTCAGATTCACTGAAGTGCCAGGCTGGAGGGTGTGGGAGTGACCGGTTCAGGCTCTCAGTGGCACGCTGAGAGGCTGAGCCATCTGCTGATCAGGCATTTGGGTGGATCCCAACTTTATTGACGGGATTCTTCCAGGGCCTGGAGCGGCACAAGAAGTGCATTCCTGGGACTCAGTGGGGCCTTACCACTTTACAAGGATTAAATGCTCATTAACTCTAGGAGTAGAGGAAAAGCTGTAATACTTTTCAATTGACTTCAGTACAACCAGCTTGTTAGGTTTTTTTTGTGCCGATTACTGCGTGCAGCTATAGACGCCAGCAGTGATCATTGTATTCTGCTGGTGGGGAATGCCCTCTGCACTCCCAGCTGGCTGAACACAATAGCACTGCAGGAGGGATTCCATCATCAACACTGACTGTGCTGATGGGGCAATCAGGCAATTTTCTTTCCTTCAACCACAGTTTGAAGGAATGAAAATTGCATAACGTATGGCCTGCCTAATGCATTATATATCAGGGAATGTGGCAGTAGCAGCCAGGACGCATAAAACTCCCATGTGGGCAGGGAAAGAGTTGGGAATTACGGCAGGATGATCGCATTGCAGCAATAGCAGCTAGGACACACAACTCCCATGTGGGCAGGGAAAGAGTTATTATTATTATACAGGATTTATACAGCGCCAACAGTTTGCGCAGCGCTTTACAATATAAGGGAGACAGTACAATTACAATACATTTCAGTACAGAAGGAATGTGAGGGCCCGGCTTGTGGAGCTTACAATCTAGAGGAAGGGGGAGGTGATACAAAAGGTGATAGCTGTGGGGGATGATCTGGCGGAGGTGATTCAAGTACAGTTCTTAGGTGGAGGTGGGGTAGGCTTCCCTGAAGAAGTGAGTTTTCAAAGATCGCCTAAAGGCAGACAGGGTGGGGGCTGACCGGACATGCTGTGGTAGGGAGTTCCAGAGGATGGGAGAGGCTCTGGAGAAGTCCTGGAGGCGAGTGTGGGAAGAGGCGACAATGGAGCTAGAGAGGAGGATATCATGGGAGGAGCGGAGTGGGTGATTTGGGCAGTATCTGTGGATGAGGTTGGTGATGTAGCTAGTGTTGTGGATGGCTTTGTAAGCGGTGGTTAGTATTTTGAATTTTATACGTTGGGTTAGTGGAAGCCAGTGAAGGGATTGACAGAGAGGGGCAGCAGATGCTGATCGGTTGGTAAAGGCGAGTCTAACAGCAGCATTCATAATAGACTGATTGGGGGATAGCCTGTGTAACGGTAGACCAGTGAGGAGGGAGTTGCAGTAATCGAGGCGGGATATAACCAAGGTGTGGATAAGTTGGTTTGTGGTGTCATTGGTCAGGAAGGGGTGGATTTTGGAAATGTTCCGGAGGTTGTGGCGGCAGGATTTAGCCAGAGAGTGGATGTGGGGCCCAAAGGAGAGGTCAAAGTCTAGGATTACGCCTAGCACCCTGGCATGAGGGGAAGGACCAATGGTTGTGATGTTGATCTTAATGGTAAAGTCATGAGTGGGGGATCGGGGAGGAGGAAATATTACAAGCTCAGTTTTTGAAAGATTGAGTTTAAGGTAGTGATGTGACATCCATGCAGATATGTCGCTTAGTAGATTTGTATTACATGAGGAGATTGAGGGGGTGGGCTGGGGAGTAGAGAGATAGATTTGGGTGTCATCAGCATAGAGAGGTGGTATTGGAAGCCATGGGAGGTTATCAGTTGGCCCAGGGAGGAGGTATAGAGAGAGAAAAGGAGGTGCCCAAGGACAGAACCTTGGGGTACCCCAACAGAAAGAGGAAGCAGAGCAGAGGAGGAGTTGTATGTGACACTGAAAGTGCGCTGAGAAAGGTAAGAGGAGAACCAGGAGAGAGCAGAGTCACGGAGGCCGATGGAGTGGAGTTTACTGAGGAGGAGCGGGTGGTCGACTGTGTCAAGAGTTGGGAATTATGGCACGATGATCACACTGTAGCAATAACAGCTAGGACACACAACTCCCATGTGGGCAGGGAAAGAGTTGGGAATTATGGCAGGATGATCGCATTGCAGCAATAGCAGCTAGGACACACACAACTCCCATGTAGACAGGGAAAGAGTTGGGAATTACGGCAGGATGATCGCACTGCGCTAGTGCATCTAAAATATACAAAAAGGCAGAGACAGGCTGTGACTCTACCTATTAAAAAAAAAAAAAATCACTTTTG